CGGTCTTTTATATTTTGAAGTATCTAAAAGGAGCCCCTGGAGTGGGATTATTTACAGTGATCACGGTCATAATAAGATAGAAAGATTTTCAGATGCAGAGTGGGCAGGGTCCTCTGTGGATAGACAATCTGTGATTGGGTTTTGTGTTTTTATTGGAGGAAATCTTATCTCTTGGAAAAGTAAAAAACAACCGAGTTCGAGTATCGAGCTATGACACAAATTACTTGAGAGCTTATATGGACAAGACATCTTCTTAGAGAAATTGGGTTTGGTGATTCGGGGACTATGAAATTGTGGTGTAACAACCAAATAACCATACATATAGCAAACAATCCAGTCTTTCACAAGCGAACAAAGCATATAGAAGTGGATTGTCACTTTGTGCGAGAGAAACTTGAACAAAAGCTAATTATTACTAATCATGTTAGAATAAGGGAACAACTAGCTGACATCTTTACGAAGTCTCTAGTTGGTAAAATGATAGCCTATATTTGTAACAAGCTGGGCATGATAGATATATATGCTCTAGCTTGAGGGGTTACTTGTGAGCTTATATGGACAAGACATCTTCTTAGAGAAATTGGGTTTGGTGATTCGGGGACTATGGACTTGTGGTGTGAAAACCAAGCAGCCATACATATAGCAAACAATCTAGTCTTTCACGAGCGGACTAAGCATATAGAAGTGGATTGTCACTTTGTACGAGAGAAATTTGAACAAAAGCTAATTTTTACTAATCATGTTAAAACAGGGGAACAACTAGCTGACATCTTTACAAAGTCTCTAGTTGGTAAAAAGGTAACCTATATTTGTAACAAGCTGTGCATGATAGATATATATGCTCCAGCTTGAGGGGGAGTGTTGGAAACTATGTATATATGTAGTCAAGGGTATATATGTAATTGTAGTGTGTATATATTTGTTAGGCTGTACTGTTGAGAAATATAGAAAAATAGAAATTGAAAAATGCAAATATTTAAAACAATTCCCAAATGTACATAAATGAAGCCTTTAGCTGACCTAAATTAGCTGTAGACAGAACTAAACTTGTTAATGGTTTTACGACGGCCTAGTGAATAGCAGCAGGTTGAAACTTAATGCTACCCTGTCCAAAGCTTCAAATCTGATTTCATAAAGCAGGGGAAATCTGTTGAATGTGAACTGAGCCCTTGAAAACAAATAAAACTCTTTTTTTTGGTTTTTCATGAAAAGAGACGACTCTTGCGAACCAGAAAATGGGAAACAAAAAGTTATTTATACGCTAGTTGGGCTAGTCAGTATAGTTGCAAGGACTGGGGGGACTAAGATTCATTAGGAATGTCAATTTATTTCCATAGAAATCTCAGGTTTATATGTTGTAGTAGTGGTATCTCACTACATCTATAACATTAATCTGAAAGGCATTTCACCCCTTTCTTGTTATGAAGCAGGCCTACTACATGATCGAGAGTGGCTTCTTCAAAGTCCAACTGGTGAAATTCTTACTCAGAAAAAGGTGAATTATTTAAGTATAATTTTGTCCATTCTTTTACTTCATTTTACAAAGGAAGAAGAACACTCATAAGTTATCTGAAACTTTTTTGAAGGTTCCGGAAATGTGCTTCATTACTACATTTATAGACCTCGATCAACAAATAATGTTTGTAGAATCACCACGTTGCAGAGATAAGTTGTCAATCAATCTAAAACCAGATTCCGATAATGGTGGGAGAGAAGAAATTAATTTGCGTGCTCAGAGGTAATATTAACACTCAGTTATGGTAACTTTTTGGATAACACCCACCCTTGTTCTCTCTATTATGTTCTTCATCACAATGCATTTTAGTAAGACTACTGGCTCTAAAAATTGCATGATAATTGTTATTTGTTAATTTTTAGATATGAAGTACATGGTTACACAGATGAAGTCAACTTATGGTTTAGCAAAGCCATTGGTCGTCCTTGCATACTACTCCATTGTTCTAGCTCCAAGTCTGCTGTGTGTGTGAATAAGAGCAGAAGTGTTGGCATGTGCAGAGATTTGGACAGCAGATTGAATTTTTCTAATGAAGCTCAATTTTTATTGTTATCTGAGGAGAGCATATCGGATCTCAACAGTAGATTAAGCTCGAGTAAGTTCTTCTACACTACTCATTACTGTGATATAAGAATCTAATTGTTGCCCTTCATTATATATATATCACTTTTCTACAGGTCAGTGAACATTTACTACTTTCGGCTCTCAGTTTGAAGACAAAAAAGAAAAAGAAAAAGAAAAGAAAATTGTTATTTGTTGATTGAAAATTTGTTGCTTCTGCTTTTTTTTTTCCTGTAAATATGATTTATACATTACAAGTGGATGCAGAAAAAAGTACTCATGGAGCACCGGTTCAAGTCAATTATATGAGATTTCGGCCCAACCTTGTCTTATCTGGAGGTGAACCGTATGCTGAAGATAGGTGGAGAAATCTTAAAATTGGAAACAACCATTTTACGGCAAGTTCTTGTTACTTTGAATGGGAACCATATTGGTTTTTTACATTTCTTCGAATAGAATTCCAAGCTTTATCTGATTTCTTACATTGCAATCCAAGCGCAATGATATCAGACAAACTTAAGCTTTTGTCATCACTTAATGTTCAATGGGATAGAATGTGTATGCATAATATTGTAGTTTGGCAATCAACACAGAATTTACTTAATTTTTCTTCTAAACGAGCGTAAGGCTGAGCCAATTTCTCATCTCTCTTTATTTTACTTATTTATGCTTCCTTCTGCAGTCCTTAGGTGGATGCAACCGGTGCCAGATGATCAATTTTGTCCATAAAGACGGACAAGTGCAGAAATCAAATGAACCTTTGGCTACACTAGCATCATACAGGAGAGTGAAGGTAAGTCATATTAATCCTACTCAAAACTTGACGGTAAAAGGATAGTTTTCACTTCCTGAACTGGTAAACAACTTTTCTTTTTTCATATCAAAGCAGGGTAAGATTCTATTTGGCATATTGTTGAAATATGATATGGCGGACAAGCTAGACTCAAGTTCATATCTTGAAGTAGGACAAGAAGTACATCCAAATTCAGAGTAGGCTAATACCCATTTGGAAAAAGAAGAGACAAGTTTTGAGTACCTCAGAAGAATGGGAGATATAGTAAACAAAGACAAAACCAGGAAGCTTTGGTAAAGCTTAACAATGCTTTTCAATACGGTATATTTTTATTTGACTTCCATGAAGAATTTGATCTTTGTATGAACAAACCGACCCAAAATATTATGTAAAGATTAATTTTTCTTGTCGTAGTTCAGGTGCGCAAAGTGTATTATAATTCACTTGTTTTAACTTTTTTGTTGAAAGGTTGTTGATAGTTGCTATGCACTTGTCGATGGGAGATCTTTTTCAATTTCAACGATGGTTTCATTAGATATCTTGTTGTTGAACAACGACGATTCATTATTCTTTAATTACATATTGGATTATTGGACAGGATTAGGCCATATATTCTTGTCTTGTTATTTTTTTTTCTCTTAGAAATTTAAACCCTTGTAATAGTAATGGATTAGAGCAAATAATGATTATGAATTGTCATAAGCATCTCTGTGTACCAACACTTTATTTAATAAATAATATAAAAGCTAAAATATGTATATATATATATATATATATAAAAGATAAATACACCCCGGCCACTCCATAATCCCATATGTGACGGCGGGGTTTAGTGTTATTTTTGATAGCCAGAGATTTAGATATTAATAAATCTATCCTTACAAAGAAGTCTATAAAAAAGTTTATAAAGCGAAAGAAAAAACAAAGAAAAAACGGAAAAAGAGAAAAAAAGAGAGAAAGAAATGATGAAGAGGAAGGATGGAGGTTAACTTTGTATACCTCCTTTGTAGGCTATTTTGTAAGACTATCAATGCTGTTTAGATATAGGATAAACCTCGGAGGGTTTTATAACTATTATTCCAGACAAAAATTATTTTACCGTCACAAACACCCTCAAACTAAAACACAAAACTCTATTAGCTAGTATTCAAACTTCAAAGTTACAAACTTGCACAGTCCAAACTCGTGAAAAGGCATTGAAGAGTTCAGAGACTTGCTGCTGAAATTTTCAATTTCCAGCCGTCCACTTACACCTATCGAGCTAACCCACTCTCCATCTATTTCGGGCGGTATCTCTGAGGTTTGCGGCGGGTGGCCCAGGCAAGGCGAGCGTAGGGAGTGCGACTGATCTGAGCCAGCGTAAGTCACAGCTGTTGGTGGCAAAGCGCAGGTCTTCTCAAAGGAAAGTACTAGAGCGAGCCAGAAGCTAAACGAACGAGACCGAGCGGAGGGTGCAAGCAATAACGGCGATCGTGCATTGCCTCAGGACTTTGCTTTTTCTTTCACGGACGACAACTACTCGACTCTGGACGGCTAGTCTAGGCAGCGTGAGGCTTGTAGCTCTGCTGACTCCTAAATTCCATTTAGCCATGCTTTGTTGAACCGATCTACTCTCTTTCTCCTGAACCTCTGCCTTCACCTGAGCCTCATCTTCTAAAGGTCGACTGAGCAACCCTCGCCTTCGAGAAATCGTTCTATTGGAAAATTCTGTTGAGGTGGGACGACTCCAGGGACACCGCCCTAAAGAGATCATCTTCGCCAAGCCAAGTAATAGCGTAGAATAGATCAGTTGAGCCCTTTACATTCCCTCATATCGGATAGCCCACGTCTGACCCCATTTCTCGTGAGAAAAGAAGTTTTGTTCCATTGGATTATCAGAACTTCTCCGTCGCTGAATCTTGACTTAGGACCATTGATTGGAGAGTACCGATCCCTATTGAAAGGGAGATTCTCATTTCGTTCCAGATCGTATTGGAATGTCTTCTCTTTGCCCGATGGATACCTATTTTAAGTGATCAAAGAAGGGGATTTGCTTAGCTCATCCAGTTTCTAGAAAACGTTCTTCTGTGCCCTTTGCGCTGTCTTTGAACTTCTTGCTCGCTTCCTGAGCCTGTCAACCAGGGCGAAATTATGAACATTTCTTCCCCGAGAGTCCACTCACTACAGGAAGATATGAAATATCTGGTACAGGAAATCACTACTTCAACGGAGAAAAACTTAATATGTGTATATACCGGTGCGGTGCCACCAAAGCACCCCCCCGTCTTGAAATAAAAATGAATTACATTATCCCCTAGCTTTATTTCATATCCTTCTATGAGAAATTGAGTGTTGAGTCCCGTCCTANTTAGCTCGATTTTAAAATGTTTATGTCGGATTGGTATGACTTCTGAAGCTATAGATCAATTTAAGGAGTACAAAGATGAGGGCCTCTTCCTTGACAATGTTTGTTATGATGTTTTAGTGCGTGCTTTATGCCAACTTGGGAAAGTAGAAGAAGCCATGGAATTGTTCAATGAGATGAAGAGAAAACTGATGGTTCCAGATGTTGTCAACTACACAAATATGATTTTTGGTTATTGTCGTCAAGGTAAACTCATCAATGCTTGGGAATTATTTATGGAAATGAATAAGTCTGGGCATAAGCCTGATATTATAACTTACAACAAACTTGTTGGTGGGTTTGCAAGATATGGCTATGTACAGAAGGCAGTTGATCTTTTAGATTATATGACGACACAAGGTTTGAAACCTAATACGAGCACATACAACATGATCATTAAAGGCATATGTATGGAAGGCAGGGTGAAGGAAGCTGAAGTTTTCTTAGATGGTTTACAAGAGAAGTGTTTGGCAAATTATACTGTCATGGTTAATGGTTACTGCAAAGCAAACCATTTAAAGAAGGCCTTTCAACTATTTATGAGATTGTCTGAGCGTGGAATCTTAGTGGGAAAAAATTCTTGCTATAAACTGATAGATGCATTTCGTCAGATTGGAGAAATGAGAGCGGCACAGTTGATCTTTGATGTCTTGATCAAGAAAGGATTAACTCCTGATCTAGTGACTTATACAAAGATGATACACAGCTATTGCAAAATGAATTGTTTACAGGAAGCATGTCATCTTTTTAGTGATATGAAGCGGAGAGGGATTAAACCTGATGTTGTAACCTATACAATTTTATTTGACACTCATTCAAAAGTAAATAAAAATATATCTTCTTCCTCCCAAAATGCCTTGCAAAGTAAAGAAGAGGTAGTGGATTTTTCAGTTTTTTGGAATGAGATGGCAAAAATGGATATAAAGCCTGATGTTGTATGTTACACAGCTTTGATTGCGAGGTGCTGTAAGACAAAGAACCTTGAGCATGCTATTAGAGTCTTTGATGAAATAATTGGCAGAGGACTAGAACCTGATATTGTGACATACACAGCGCTTTTATGTGGCTACTTTGCAACCGGTGATGTAGATAAGGCTGTAAACCTCATTAATGAAATATCAATTAAGGGGATACCACAAGATAACTACTTCATGACGTCATTGGAACGTGGTATATCAAAGGCCAAGAGATTGCCGTATAGACATTAAGCATCATGTTGAGTCCCCATGAGTAGTGAATTCAAAATCTCTATCGCATCCAGTTCTTAAAGGTATGATTGAATGTACAAGGCCATTCAACATTACGATCTAATATTTTTGAAATACTTGGACAACTGCTTTGATTACATCATTGCTCAAAAGATTTACCCAACAGTTATTTTCTCAAAATGATTCTATTCAGTAATTTAATTGGTTCTGCTTGTCCATTCGTTAGGTGGATGCAACTGCTGCCAGATGATCCATTGTGTTCATAAAGACAGACAACTGCCGAAATCAAATGAACCTTAGGCAACTTATAATCATACAGGAGAGTGAAGGTATGTCGTATTAATTCAACTCAAAAGCTGGCCATTTAAAAGGTTGATTTCTCTTCTTGAACTAGTATACAAATTTTTGTTTTCCATATGGAAGCAGGGGAAGATTTTATTTGCCATATTCCCAAGATATGACATTGCCAGGCTGGACTCTAATTCTTATACTGAAGTTGAAGAATACATCCAAATTCAGGGTAGGATGTACCCATACGAAATAACAATAGTCAAAGTTTAAAGATACAATTAGAGCCTCCCAGAAGAATGGGACATATACTCAACAAGATAAAAAATGGAGACCTCATCAAGCTTGAAAATGCTTCTCTAGTTTGATTACAGAGTAGGTTTTATCCTGTATGAACAAACTGACCATAAATATTCTGTAAAGATCAATGTGGTAGGTGGTTTAGTGTATTATAATTGATTTTTAAACATTTGGTTGTATGATAGTTAATAGTTAATATACACTTCATCTATTGTAACTCAACCTTTTTGTTTTCTCATAATTGTATTTCTTTTCTAATTTTCTAGAGAAAATACCAGGAGAAATTTTGTATGCATGCCTGGTTTTCAACCGATTGGAAATTTATGGTGATGGGTTGTGATGAAATTTTAGCGACAGTATGAAATCCTATTTTTTCGCTTCCTTTCAGTCTGACAGATTTTTGCCAATGTTTTGATTTCTTCTCTGTTTTCTCTAATTGTTCTATGCACAAGTTTGAGGAAACTGAAAAAATTGAAAGTATGGAGAGGAGATGCATGGCCGAATACCATTGTTTTCTGTTTCCTAAAGATTGTAGGGTTTTTCGGGACTTCAGTTTTGATCTTGTATTCTCAAAATGAGGTCGGAAGGTTTCTAGATTATTAAAATTATAAAATAATACAAATTTAGTTTTTATTTTCATATTATAAAGTAGTTTTTAAGATTGTTTGTATGTGGAACATATTTTAGACTAGAAGTAACTTGAATGGATCTCTTTTTTCTTCACATAGCATAACATTCTTAGGTCTATAAATAAAATTTCTTGGTTCTGGGCAACAACTTCAACTTTTCTTTTTTGGTCAATTCATGTGACAATTGACTTTATAATAATAATAATAAAATATATATAAAAAAAAAACTTATATTATTGTATAACTTGTACAAAGTCTTAAGATACAGAGAATTTTTTATATTATATAGTATAAATAAATATTCCAAAGCATCTATTCTCTTGCTGAGAGACTTTTAGTACGAAATAGAAGCCAAAGTACAATGGAAATTATTAAATTAACAATTTCCAATTTCAAACATCGGGTTTTAGACATGTTTAAATTAATATTTATAATTAAAACCCTTATAAATATATAATTTTTTACTATATCATATTATGTATCTAAAGTTTGTTCAAAGAACCTTTACCAAGTTTCATAAAATATATTTATATTATATATATAAACAAAGGGCTCTGAAATTTAAACCATATGTTATAATTCTCAACAGAGTTACATTCCTTAAGACCATTCAAACTTCAAGTTCATAATTAATTCCAATAAACTTATAAATACAATTTATTAAATTCCTAATATCATGCTTGACCTAGCCCTTCATACTATCAAGTCAGCCAAATACTTATCATTAATAAGAATTTTAAATTATACAAATATATATATGTGTATTCGGCACGTCAATGGTATCATAAACTGAATACTAATGTCACAAATGAATTTCTCTATCTCTACAATTAACATAATTGATGGTTATTAAATTGAATATATTGAATTTGTGGAATTTCTCATTTCTATATGTTGACGCTGTGATTTTCATCAACAAAAAGTACGTAGAATCTGTGATAAAATCTACGTAAGAGATTGTATGAAACATGCTATCCGATGTGGGATCAATTAATAAATGAAAGACACAAACAATAAAAGATTTTTAAGGTGGTTCAAATGCTAGGTGCAAATCTTCCGTCCACTTTTTCTATATTGCTTTTTATGTTTGTGTACAAACGTGGCTCGCACCAAATATGAATGAGACATCTGAACAAATCTCCTCATTTTGGATGAAAAGTTAGCTTATATACTATTACAATGGTAAACTTGAAAATAAAGTTAACCTAAAATGAAATGACACGTAACGTGAATCCATGTTTCCGGATTGACCGTACAACACTACATGAATTTATTGTCGTTAGAAATAAGATATAACCAGGATAAAAATGAAATTTTAGACGCATATTTATAGAAGTGGAATATGTCAATGACAAGTTTCTATCATAGCATGTGTTTGCAGTTAATATTTGAAGAAATATTAACCCTAAAAATTTAATTTTAGTAAAATACAAAACTTGAAGACTCATGACTGTGATTTAGTCTTGTATATATCTATCAAAGACTGGTTCATTCTTGAAGAGTAAAAGCTGCAGTATCCCTTTGAACTGGCCATGGCCAATTGATGATCCATATATCTTGACTAGGCAATAAATAGAAGTCAATCTTTTACTATCACAGTGTTATGTTTGATTCTAAATTAGGCAACACATGACAGATTTGTGCTTTTTAATTGGTTTGAATACTTCAATTTCAATATGGTGAACAGCTTTTGTCAGCTTTCTCATCTTTCTTCCATGGATATATACGATTCCACGATCACCTAGCTTGGTCTCCATACATTATTTATATTCGTTTTAAATTGTAAACATTTTAATGATTTCAAAGATATGTGCAACACATCTTGGTCAAATGATTTGTGTTATGGAGACCAAGAACATTGATTATTATTTAACGGTTAGGGTTTTCAATTAATTAATCCCATTCCTTATAATTAATAAAATCACTAATGTGACATAATTATCTATGTAATATTGGCACAACCCATATATAGTCTTTCTTTTTTCTTTTTTGTAACCAAGGTTTCTGGGTCAACTTACGCGCACCTTGACTACATATATAATCTTCAACATACATATAATAGAAGTACTTGTGGGATTTATAAATATACATAGTCAACCCCTAGGTGGTTGAATGGTTTGATAAGAATTCTTAGGTGTATTACTTAATAGGTCTTATGTTCGAGTCCTTCCTCGATTACTAATAGGTGTGACCGCTCTTACCCTATCGATAGTTTCAAGGTCCTATTGGATTAGTTGAAGTATTCGTAAGCTAGTTTGAACACTCTCGATTATTAAAAAAAAAAAAAAAAAAAAAAAAAACTAAAGTGCTCAAACCTAGGAGAAAATTAAAATTTAGACTATTAATTAAAATGTGATCCACATTGTTAGGAAGTGTGTTGATAAAAGAAACTATAAGATGGGCCTATTCTAGTATTGCGGTAATTTAAAATTAAATATACCGAGACAAAGACATTGAATTAACCTTAAGTCAAGCTTCACCAAGTCAAAGATTGAAAAAATATTTTATGTTTGGTAATTGCTCCTCGGAGCGTTTAAGTTGTCGTTATTAGTTGCAATTTCAGTTCTCCAATTCTCTTAAATTGGGAAAATTGTTGTAATGTTACAAAGGTTAATGTTATCATAATTGGTCAAATTTTGCACGCAACTTCTAGAAAACTTTAGTTTTAATTTGAATTTACAAGCAATGTAATTTGAGGATATAGTTTTCAATTTTAACATCATTAGAGAAGAAAACTAATATATGATTATAATATATGAAGCACACTGTTGGGTTTCAACACTTTGAATATTATCCTTAACACTATTATGTTATTTTATTCAATTAATGAATTGAAAGTATACACCTTTGACATCGTACACAAAACACAATGTCAAATCCTTGTAATCGGATGATTTTTACTTAGGGTGGTTGATCTTCTTTATCTCTTGTAATTCAACTATATAAACAGAAATCCACGAGATTGACTTCTTTTTTGTTTCTTTTATACTTTTTTATTTTTTATTTTTGAGGGGCAAATATTCTTCAAAGCTGCTCATGTTGTTCTAAGACTTATTGGATGATCTGTTTGGTTAATTCTAATATAATTCCCTCATCAAATTAACTATGCATTGATGCACATTTACTTATATTCAATCGTGGTTAAGTATAAGATTATGACATTTCTTGTTCTTTTTAACCAATTTGAAAGCATGCATTAAATTTTTCAAACTTGACAGGTTCTAATATTCCTATATCAGATAGCTGATTTTTCTTTCTGTGCATAAACAAATAAAACTTTTTAAATAAATCTGGTAATTATAAGTTAGTAGACTATCAATTTGGATAATAATAAATTCAATGTATTATATAACTACCTTTGGGTGATTGAGTGGTTCGATAAATGACTTTTGGATGTATTACTTAAAAAATTTTGAATTTGAATCCCTTTTCGGTTGTTAATAGAGGTAACTATAAGAATTATTTTCTGGTCGGTAGTTCCAGGGTCTTAAAGAATTAGTAGAGGTATACGTAAGCTATCCTAGACACCCGTCATCAAAAAAAGAAATAAATAAATTCAATGTGTTGCCAAGTAAAAACCTTCTACCATGGTAGCTAAACGTGCTGTCATTTGCATTAATTATTGCCACCCTAAGATGTTTAAAGGATGTTGTTGAAGTAATTAATTTAGAAACGGTAGTATTTTAATATGCTGAGCGTTAATTTAGAATTATTCTAATATCAATTTTGGCTACGGAGTCATCCTCTGGAGTCAAGACGAGCGAATGACTTGACCTGAGAAAAAACCAACCCTGATAAGACTTTTTTCACATTATATAGAAAGTTCTTTCATGTTCAACTAGCATTGCGTTTGCTGCAGAAAAATATTATACAGGGTTGAAGAAGATTGATGTTCGAGAACCATGAACACTGAAAATAGCTCGAGCTCTAAGGATGATCATCAGGAGATGCAGCTTCCAGGGTTTCGGTTTCATCCAACAGATGAAGAACTTTTAGGGTTTTATCTTCGAAGAAAAGTTGATAAGAAACCAATCGTTATCGAACTCATCAAACAGATTGATGTCTACAAACATGATCCTTGGGATCTTCCAAGTATGACATACTACTCATCAGTTTATCAGCTTTTAAATTACTTAATTTTCTTTAGTTATCTTTTCTTAATAATTTGGTTTGATGTACTCAAATTCTAGGTTTTTTTTGGAAGCTAGTTTGATATTATCAAAACGATAATAATTTTATCTTGTTCTTGGTTTAATCAAATGAAAGAAATGGATTCGAAATAAGTGTGGTTGATTCTAGCTAGCTTGAGTCTTTCTAATTAACTAGTGCTATACGTAGTTCTCAGGTGCAGCCCTATTTTTTCGAAGACAAATAATTTTTCATCCCTCTCACAGGATCACTTTTAAAGCTTCAAATCAAGGGTTTTTTTTAGATTTTTTTTTTTTTTTTTCAGTGAATTTTTTTTTCCATATATGGCTTCTATCCAATCCTGTTATCTTTTATGCTTAAATTATTATTGAATATAAGTAGAAATCATAAACCTAACGTGTCATATATCTACATATATATAGCCTCGTCCTGAAAATTATGAAAACTAGGGTTTATTAATCACTGCTAGGTAATAAAGAAGATAAAGAATTTCCATGATATTCATGTGGAGTGGAGATAGCATCTAAAAGAATAAAACCCTTTTGTTGTCATGGTGCTGCTCAATCATTTTTTTTAATCCTTTCTTTGGGGGCATTTAAATGAATATTTGGATAAAACTAATTTTTTATGCATGCAGAAATTAGCAGTACGCCTGACAAGGAAGGATACTTCTTTTGCAAAAGAGGGAGAAAATATAGAAACAGCGTAAGGCCAAATAGAGTGACGGGGTCTGGGTTTTGGAAAGCAACTGGCATCGACAAGTCAGTGTATTCTGAAGGAGGAGAAGGTCGTGACTGCATTGGCCTCAAGAAAACACTTGTTTACTACCGTGGAAGTGCAGGAAAAGGCACCAAAACTGATTGGATGATGCATGAATTTCGCTTTCCCCCCAATGATAATAGCACCGCCTCCAATTCCAAAACCACTCTTCAAGAAGCGGTAAGCATTAGCACTTTTCCTAAAATAAAAGTTTTTTAAAGATATTTCATTTGAAAATGAAATTATTCTTATGTTTTGTTGGTTTTCAACGAATCACAGGAAGTATGGACTATATGTCGAATCTTTAAGCGAAACGTGTCATACAGAAAGCTGACACCAGATTGGAAAGAATCATCTTCTTCAGCGAAACGTCATTCAGCATTAATGGAATCAACCTCTAAACCATATGCTCTGGACTCTAACAATCAGCAGGAAAGCTACATCAGTTTCGAAGCTCCAATTGTTCATCAAACTAATAAGCCGATGAAACCACTCATGATCGACGATCATCTCAATGAGATCAGGAACCAGCAGTTAGCTTCAGAACATTTGAGCAGCACTAACAATTATACCATAGCCAATTCTCCAATATCAATGGCATGGTCTTCAAGCTTTCAGAATCCATATGGGAATCATCATGATTTCTTGACGTATGAGAACTGGGATGAGCTCCGACAAGTCGTAGAATTTGCCTCCGATCCTAATCCTCATCCGCGACTGACTAGGTAATTAATTATATGACTTTAACATGTATAAATGGTACGGACGACTAGATGAAACATTGTTGGTTGTACATTTGAAACATCGCTCTTCAGGTTCAGCTATCCTCTCGTATCGATAGCGCATGGTTTTCAGAAAATAAAAGTATATCTAGCAATGTTTTGTTGGACAAGACGTACTAGCTTAGTACAAGGATGTAGTCTGTAGTAGATATATGTTCTGTCTTATCTGATTTTGTAGATATATAATTAATTACATGTGTAATTGTTGTTTTTGTATGAAAATTTTAATTAGATTATTTATTACCCATAGATAGGATATTAGAAAAGCTTGTTTGGTAGGATGAAGAACTACTACTTTCACCACAGGAAAATGTTGTTGACGATGTCCACGTTTGTTGCACGACATCGTCGGAATATATCACATACACTGATGCTACAGAGTGTCGGTGTTTTTTTTTTTCATTGATCATATCTTTCCATTTATTATCACTAATTCACTGTTTATTTTGTTAGTTAATTGTAAAAGTAAAAATTTAATCATCGTTTATTGTCAATAAGAGTTATTGTTATAGTTGTTTAATACCAATGTTTTTATATCCGGATCTAGCCTTGACCCATCAAGGGACCGATCACCAGGTCAGACGGTCTAACCGATGAGTCAGACCATTGACATCATGTTGATATTATCATGACGTAATATAATTTTAAAACTCTAATAATTAATAGGAATGAGTATTCTTTAATGGGAAACAAGGTTTGACACTGTTTGTCGATTCAATTCTGAGTCAATATGATATAATGGCTAAAACGGGTTTTAAACATTCAGTGGATCGGATTAGAGACTGGCTCCTGGTCGGAACGGTCAATCCGATCCAAGTTTTAAAACCATGGTTAATACCAAAAATAAAATTTTGAAAACTTTCACGTAAAAAGAAAAAAAATTGGTTTTTAGCAATACCTAGAGGAAATAAAGGGAAAAAGAAAAAAACCCGGCAGCCATCTTCACCTAAGAGTTGAGTTTTATATGGTCAAACCACTAAACCTTTCTTATTGAAAAAATCCATATAACACTATAACGAGCTAATAAAATATTTACATAATTGAAAGGTTAATGTTGAATTGAATCTTCTCATTTTGATCAATCCATTGAAATCTTGTTCTGAGTAGGTTTACGAGATCTCTCCTTCTATCAAATTAAAGACCAAGGACCAAAATGCAAGTGGTATGATGATTAATTTATGCCTGACTCGATCTAAATTTTGACCAACTTCGTAGGAATGCCACGCTTACCCAATTCCATGTCTTCCAAGTCAATATATATTACACATCTTACTATCATCTATATATTCTTTCAAATTTTTAATTAATTTCTCTCTTATCTATCAGTAGTACATACTGTATTATTGATGAGTTATTATGTATCCCACAAGTAGGGGTGAGCACGGGTAGCGGGTAGAACCGGAACCGGGGGTANTAGCAATACCTAAAGGAAATAAATGGAAGAAAAAAAACCAGCAGCCATCTTCACCTAAGAGTTGAGTTTTATTTGGTCAAACCACTAAACCTTTCTTATTGAAAAAATCCATATAACTATAACGAGCTAATAAAATATTTACATAATTGAAAAAATATTTGAAAGGTTAATGTTAAGTTGAATCTTCTCATTTTGATCAATCCATTGAAATCTTGTTCTGAGTAGGTTTACGAGATCTCTCCTTCTATCAAATTAAAGACCAAGGACCAAAATGCAAGTGGTATGATGATTAATTTATGCCTGACTCGATCTAAATTTTGACCAACTTCGTAGGAATGCCACGCTTACCCAATTCCATGTCTTCCAAATCAAAATATATTACACATCTTACTACCATATCATCTATATATTCTTTCAATTTTTTAATTAATTTCTCTCTTATCTATCAATAGTACATACTGTGTTATTGACGAGTTATTAAGTATCCGACAAGTTCAAAGGTGTGGTAACAAAACGTAAATCATTATCTGAAATAATTTTATATAAATATTTTATTTTATCTTAAACCCTTTAATGTAACATAACATATATTTTTTGTAATATATATATATTTATTATTATGTGAAGTATGTATCCCACAAGTTCAAAGGTGCGGTAACAAAACGTAAATCATTATCTAAAATAATTTTACATAAATATTTTATTTCATCTTAAACTTTTTAATGTAACATAACATATATTTTTTGCAATATACATATATTTATTATTATGTGAAGGCAAGTTCCTTAAGACATGAACTTAGAATAATTATAACTTATTACAATATAAAATTTATTCTTATTTATAAATAGTCTAAGTTGGAGCCAGAGTTTTTTTTCAATGACATAGATATTATTTTTATATAAAGTATTATTATAAAGATATTTTACGATACCTATATATTTACTAAAACAAATTATAAATGATTGCAGAGAGAGAATGAAGTCCAATTGTTGGACTCATGAGGTATCAAGTCTCTTCATTATTATGTTTGAACGGAGGGAGTCCCTCATACTCTTAAGTGGAAAAAACAATACCAATTGATAAATAATGTTAATTGTTAATATTAATGAAAGAGATATTTATACACGAATTTGATACAAAATAAATATATAATATAGGTGACATGTGGTACATATTGTTTAAGGCAAAACTGGCCCAACAGATTTTAATTAATTAATACTTAAAAAATAAATTTAACTACTTATTAAGTAGATGATTAATTCCTAATTAATTTATTAATTATTAAATGTAAATCTGGCTAATAGTTAGTAGAGGGATGCATGTTCTACCAATATGCACTTAAAATGTGGCAATTTCTGTTGACAAATTCACGATGTGACTAATCACATTTCCATCATTTTTCTTGGTAACCTGGTCCTTTCATCAAATTTTGACACGTAAACTATGACCCATTACCTTTTTGCTCATCGGGTTTACTCTTATTTCTATGTGACCCAACACAAATTCGTTCCAATTTTTTGACAAAACTAGATGATTTTATAGGTAAAATTGATATAATCTGTAAGAAAATCAGGAATTCTTCAGAGAAAATTTCGGTTGTATAGTATGTTGTTTATAGAGATAATCTAGTACTTTCATTATATGGTATATTGTTTATGGAAATATTTTTACATATTTAGTATTGGAATTAGAGAAGTTGGATCATATAAACATTAGGTAAACCTGATGGGTGAAATAGATATTTGCCATAAACCAAGCTCATCATGTGCATAAAAGCGCAGAAGCCGGCCTCTTTTTTCCTATCATACAATTCATTAAAGCTTTTAGAACTTTCCTCAGCCCCACCTCTTCACCTAAACTCCATAATTTTTTCCCATTTCCTCACTTAATTCATTTTACTTCACTTTTTTAAGCTTCAAGTTTGTTTCCTTCTTTACACTTTCAAGAGTTTCAATTCTCTTCTCTGCTTCTCCCCCCATCTTTCTCTTAATCTCTTCTCCATAATGACAGAGAAAGACAAGAAACCCTGTTTCTCCAAAACCAAAGAGACTCAGTCAAATTCAAGATTCTACAACTACACTCTCTTCATTTTCATCTCTTTAACCACATGGTTTCTTGTTCTCTTCCTTTATCTTCCTCCCACTGTTCCCACAAACTCCAAACAACAAAACACTCACAGTCTCCACAAAACCAAAAACCTCAACTCCATTAACAATGAAAATTACAGTCACACCCCATTCTCAGTTTACATTTACAATTTACCCCCACAGTTCAACTTCGACCTTCTCAAAAACTGCTCCCACTTGAATATCTACAGCAACATGTGTCCTCACGTAGCAAATCAAGGCCTCGGCCAGCCACTTCCTGATATGGCCACGGACTTAGGCCTGGGTTCGGACTCGGGCCACGCCCCGTGGTTCGCGACCCACCAGTTCTTAGCGGAGATGATCTTCCATGCACGTATGGAAAATCATCTGTTTCGCACGTGGGATCCGTCGCGTGCTATGCTCTTCTACGTTCCCTTCTACGGTGGGCTTCATGCGTCTAGTAAATTCAGTGAGACGAATCACACCGTTCGCGACGAGTTAGCTGTCAGATTGGAGGATTTTCTACGGTCACAGCCTTGGTGGGACCGGCATCAAGGGAAGGATCATTTCATGGTCTTAGGGCGAACCTCATGGGATTTTATGAGGACTCCAGGTGGGTCCGACTTTGGAGCCAACTATCTTCTTAATCTGCCACGTGTACGGAAAATGTCGGTGATGACTGTTGAGAGACACGTGTGGAAGGGCTCGAACCAACACGGCATCCCTTACCCCTCTTATTTCCATCCGTCCACGTCACAACAAATGCTGACATGGCAGCAGAAAATGCTGCAATTAAGACGGCCCCACTTGTTCACTTTCATCGGGGCCCCGCGGAAGGGAGTAGAAAAAGCAGCAATCCGAAACGAGTTGATACGGCAATGCGGTGAGTCAACTCGGTGCAACCTAGTTGCATGCAAAAACACTGAAGGTTCAAGCAAGTGTTATAAACCCAGTGAAGTAATCAAAGCAATGAGCAGTTCCGAGTTTTGCCTGCAAGCACCAGGAGACTCGTTCACGCGACGGTCGACGTTCGATTCAGTGCTCGCCGGTTGCATTCCGGTGTTCTTTTCGCCGCACACGGCGTATACGCAGTACGGGTGGTTTCTTCCGGCGGATGGGGAGGAGTACTCAGTTTATATAGACGGAGAGAAGGGGAATGTGAGAGTGAAAATTGAAGAAGAGTTGCTGAAGATACCGAGAGAGAGAGTTGAGAGAATGAGAAATAAAGTTATTGACTTAATTCCAAGAGTTACGTACAAGCATCCTAATGCAAGTGACGACGATGCCGAGTTTAAAGATGCTGTTGATGTTACAATAGCGGCTTTGGCAAAGCATGTTCAGACCATAATATTGGGTGGAAAAAATAAGTCGAATAATAATCAAATACTGTAAATTATTAATTAATTACTTGTATGTTATTCGATGTATAGGTATTTTTGCCTGGCCGATGATATCGAAGAATTTATTATGTGTTTACAAGAATTGAGCGTTAAGTCTTGAAGTTTAATAAAGTTGTTTCTTCCTTGTGACACTTTATACCCGCCAGCTATGAGATGAATCTTAATTTTGCAAGCTAAAACACATTGCGTCATCTCATTGATAATTAGGTACACCAACTTTAATATATTTCATTAACCCAAGTTACTCAACCATCTGCTTATTCAATATTGATTTTAAGTGCTGTTGTACCAGAATGTGCAGGCAACTCGGAGTAAGTAATAGCTTAGAGCGATTTGTAACTTAAAAAAAAATAAAAAAAAAAAAAAAAATAGAAGCCAATTGAGATCAAAAGTAAAGCGACTTACTCGGCTGATGTCTTCCAAACCGTGGATGAAGAGAAGATCAGGGGATTAACTCTCTTTGCAATCTCGGCATGATCGTCACACCAAAAATCATGGGATCAACTTCCCAAATGCAAGTCATTATCCCGAAAATCACTCTTATAACAAGTATCAACCTAGTAGTATTTAAAACTCCTCAAAATCATTGTAAAAGGGTTGGCAATTTTAGAGTTAACAATTACTCTTGGAATCGCAAATACATCAATAAAATAACAAAGGATATAAGCTTGAGAGTTTACTTGCTAAACCTCTTTAAAAATCATTTTTTTATCTTTATTTTCTGATTATTTATAATTATGCAGCCATCCATTTTGATTCCGTAAAAGTCAATCGGATCACACTGATTATTACGAGATTTCAAGTCAATAGGATCATAAAAAGGTCTACATAAAAAGACAATTAGTATGTCTCTTAATTTATGTCTCTTTTGTTTGTGGGGGAGTTACGTACATAGTGTTTAATTATTTTCTGCCCTACTTATTTGATTTTATATTAAATGTATTTCTATATATATATCAATCAATGGAGTTGATTGAATAGGTGTGGAAAGGAGCCAAATAAATTATCTTTAAGTTCTTGTTGTAGAGAATTATTAATTAATTAAATTGTAGTGGTTGAAATAAGTAATGGCGAGGGACCGACGTGATATAAAAGTTGCTACCAGTACTGTACTAGACCGAAATCTCAAACAACATAAATATGCAAATCAAAGCGCTGCAGCGATTTATAGTGTTTAGCTAACAAAGTAAAAGACCAATTAACTAAGAAGCTGCAGAATATATTACATCTGCCACTGATTTGCCAAAGTTTTTAGCAAAGTTTCTCTGAGAAAAAAATGATAAAATATATTATATACCCCTCACCCTGACTCTTAAGTTTTGGGCCATCCTCGGAAACCCAAGCCCAACAAGAATTTCATCTCCAGATATGAACACCATGCCTACAGCTCTTCAAGGCCGGGTTCAATATTGATGGGCAATAAAAGGATGTGTTTTAGCTTGCAAAGTAGGGATTTGGTTGCCGATATGTCTGAGAATCTATATCACGAGTGATCAAGAGTGAAGAAAGAGATATTTAACTAAAATCTTTACCATTCAAATTGGTCTCCATATATTGGTTTATGTATAAAGCAATCCTTCTTCCAGATTTCGAGAGCTTGCTATGGCGGCTTCGGGAAGAAGGTCCCATATTATAACCTTCATTTTCTGGGGGTATTCATTTAGGACCTCTGCAAAAATATTTAATAATAGTTCATATATATATAATATTGATATGTATTTAGAATTCTAAAACAAGAAAATACAAAGCACACCTATGATTATCTTCCTCTATGAATATGAACTTCACATTATTAACCAATTTAATAAGAGAAGATAACAACATTCAGAAATATTTTCTTCCTTCTACCGAATTCAAATTAAAACGGAATTTAGAGATCAAACCTTAAACTTATGGAATCGAAAAGGAAATTGGGACTAAAGGAGGAGAAGAGTTTTGTGACTCAAGAAGAAGAACCCACATTTCATAAACATGTCTGAACATGCATACAAAATTCATCCATTCCCAAAAAAATAATATTTGATTACAGGACTTGATTTAGTCAATTAGCTAATACAATTGGCCAAAGAAATTTCAAAGGAAGTGTAATTAATATGCATATGAACTTTCCTTTTATATATATATATATATATATATATATATATATTTGATTACAGGACTTGATTTTCTTCAGAATCAGCTGAAAATATCTAAGAATAGGAAATCCTAGCTTTGCGGTGGCCGACAATCGGCGAAAAATCAGATGCCAGAGTGAGAGGGGTTTTGTAGAGAAGAGACAAAAGGTTCAAATGGTGGTGATGAATAGAATTTTGCTGCTAAAATCGGCTTTGGGTAGTAACGAAATATTAACTTTGGGTGAAAAAAATGATATTTTGAAATTTTTTAGGTGGGAAAGTGTCGTTCAGGCAAACTTTGCGTGGGAAAAAGTTGTTTACTCTAATAATAATAATAATAAAAGACTATAGTCAGCATTGTCCTCAAGGAAGGATGGACCGTCCATGCCATTATCTCTGTTAAAGTTTAGAGCAATATTGACTAACAAATATTATATATCGTTTATTGGTCACTTCTGTTCAAATTGAAATTAATGTAATAAGATTAGTTGGAATATTGCCCTAGCAATCTATATTATATATCTTTTGTCTTGGTACTTTTTTGTTTTTTCCTAATAATTTATCATGCTATGTTTAGAGATAGATTACATGTAAATTTCTTATATAATTATTACATTATTTATTATATGAATTTACTCAAATATCAATGTTGCAAGTGGTAGGTGACTTCGTTCGTAGATATCATCTTCATTAAATTTACATGTTAAATTAAATAAACCGAGTTTGAGGGAGTTAAATAAACCGAATTTATATCCTTTGAAACTTTGAAATTAGAAACATTTGATATCAGGTTTTCTATATATTTTATAATCAATGCATGAGAATAATATATGACATAAAATATTAGTTCTACAACTGTAATAACACATATCATGTCACACCCAAGATGAAATGATGTCGAGTGACCCAACCTTGAGTGAAATCACCCTTTAACATGATCTTTTGCTGACTTGGTAGGGGTAAAATAATTGAAAAGAGCGAGTTGAAATCCTAGTGAGTGGATGCTTTTATAAAACATTCAAATATGTAATGAAACATTCATACAAATATATATGTCATTTTAACAATTATTTTTCAACATTTAATCTATTTATCATAAACTGGTAATTATAAACTAAAAATTTTTCTGAAAACAACATTTAAAGGTATTATGATTATTCATTCTTTTCCGAAAACATCACCATAATCGTATTTTAAAATCTGAAGTCATTTCTCATGAACTAGCGTTAATCAATAATAAATGTTTCTTCCTTTTTTTTTTTTTTTTTTTTTTTTTTTTGTTTATAAATCCTAGATAAGTTTTATCTATGATTAAGGAAACATAGTTTGTATAATGAATGGAAGAAACTGGTTGCTTTTATTTGCTGCTCTATAATCCAAATACTCAGCACATTATAAATATCTTTCATATAGAACATAATAAACTTTATTAATTAAATTAAATAAATTGACACTTTGTAGCGTACTCCAAATGATATTCACTGCATAAATTAATCTATGATCATCTTCTTGGTGAATTAATCAAACATTTCTCTGCATTTTATCCCCAAAAGCTACAACTTTCATTGATGAGGGTCTACATGTGATCTAAAATTTTGTGCTCTCGAGGAAAAAAAAAAGGGTTTGACAACCACATGATTATATTTTTTTTCGTTTTTAAACGGAATATATTAAATCATTCATTTAATTAAATGATTGTTAATGTAAAATTATTTTTATATTTACAAAATTTTACATTTACATAATCTATTTATGACATAATTTTAATTTTGCTTAAAGCTGCTTACTTTTAGAAAGTAAGCAGCTTTAAGCAAGAGATATGGCCCTCCACCAGGACCACTACACGGTAGGGGTGGAAAAAAAAAATTCAAAAACCAAATCAAAAATTCGTTTTTTTTTTTTTGGGGCAAATCGGTTCGTTTCGGTTTCAAAATTTCATAAATCTATTATCCAATCCGGTTCATAATTTTTTCAAACCGATTAACTAAAACCGGTTTAAATAAAGAGTAATACTACATTTACAAAGAAATCTTACAAAAATTTTCATACAAAGTGATATGACAAAAAATGAATAGAATAGTGAATTTGATGAGTTTGACTTTTTGTTTTACTCTTCCATTCATTTTTTGTCACTTCATTTTGTATGGAAATTTTTATAAGATTTTTTTGTAAGTATAGCATTATTGTTAAATAAAAGTATTACGTAATATTGGATAAAGACCAATTCAGGAAGACTGAAGAGTGTGCTGTTTAATATTTAAGAAGTGTGGGGTATAACTTTTTTTTTCCAACCCCTAGCGTCTCTCTCTCACATATTTTATATATTACACCAATAATTACCTTTCACAAACTTTTATCTTATAATCTTGACATAGCAGCTCATAATTGATCTATTTATAATAAGTTCCACTTTAATTCTACGTAGGTTCTATTAGGGGTATTCAGTTTCAAGTACCTTACATTTTTTTAAGAAACTAGAACCAAAACTGAAACCGATTGTTCCTTGAAATTTAGAATCAGAACCGAAAGTTCCTACATTATTCCGGTTTCGTTCTGGGTACCCTATAAAATTATAGGGACCCCCCAAAAGTTTTTAAAATGACAAAAAAAACCCTTAAAAACTTACAAATACCCCCCACCAGACACTTATTAACAAAAATAAAATTACAAATTATAAATTCAAATTTACAAACTCCATTACTTTGTAAAGGTAGATTCTTAAAAGTCAAACCAATTTACTTTAAATGTTATGAAATATAAATATAAATATATTCACATTACTTTTGCTACAAAAATTTTTATTAATTCCATTACTTTTTAATTTTATTTTACATTAGTCTCGGTTCCCGGTTTCGATTCCTTATTATAGGAACTGAAACTGCACAATAACGGTTCCAAAAATTTTATAATTTGACGAAACTATTTTTCACTGCTTTTATTTTAATTTTATAATTTGACGAAACTATTGCACCTATGTTTCAAACAAAGATTCTGAAATTGATTCTCTATCTGCAAGTGTAATAACTTTAATTTATTTTTGAAGGAGGTTTTCTCGTAACTACATTAATTTTTCTTTTTTCTCTTATTCATGGATTGTCTACAAACTTAAACAGATCTGAAAAGTCTTTCATCAGTGGAGTTGGATGGCTTCTTCTTCTTCATCTTCAGCCACTCCTCAATTGAAGAACTATGATGTCTTTCTTAGTTTCAGAGGCGAAGACACCCGCATTTCTTTTACAAGCCATATCCATGCGGCTTTGTGTCGCAAAGCAATTAAAACTTTCATTGATAATGATCTGGAAAGAGGAGATGAGATTTCGACATCTCTTTTGAATACAATTAAAGCATCAAAGATTTCTATCATCATTTTCTCACAAAATTATGCGTCTTCAAGATGGTGTCTCCAAGAACTTGAACAGATTCTTGATTGCAAGGAAACGAAGCAGCAGATTGTAATACCAATTTTCTATAATGTAGACCCAGCTCATGTAAGGAATCAAACAGGGAGTTTTGGGGAGGGATTTGCTGGACTTCAAGAGCGTTTTAAGGAAAAACCGGAGATGCTGAAAGCGGAAAGATGGAAGAGTGCGTTGAATGAAGCAGCTAGTCTATCTGGTTGGACTATAGATGCAAACACGTAAGTGTGAATCTGCATATAATTTTGTACTCATCAATATGTAATTTATTTAAAATATTTTTTTAATGAATTAAAAATTTAAGATCGGTTTTTTAAAATGTTTGTATTGATTTTTGTGATCTTCTTTCCTTTTAGTCCCCAAGAATTTTATTGTTTTTTTTTTTTTCAACAAATCAAATTAACGGTTTCTTTCAAAAGTGATAATATTTCATTAAGTAAAGAAATTTATTCCCATGTTCATAAATGGAGGAGGAACCCAATATTTTTTCTGTTTGGATAATTTTTTAGTAACATTAACAAGAAATATTTTTTCCTCTCTCCTTTGATTTACTTATCCTAACTAATTAATATTTTTTTTTCTTCTATTTAGTAGGCCAGCATGTGAACATACAGAGGCAATTTCACGCAATATATTGGAAAGACTAAATAAATTGTTTCCGAGTGATTATGCTGAAGGCCTGGTTGGAGTAGAATTTTCAGTAAACAAAATAGAGTTTTGGTTGCACAAGGGAACAAATGGTGTTTCCAAAATAGGAATTCGGGGCATAAAAGGTATAGGCAAAACAACTATTGCCAAAAATCTTGAACCGGTTTGAAAGATCTTATTTTGTTGAAGAGTAATGTTATATTTACATCACCCATTACACCATTTTCATTATATTATGATGTAACATATCTCACATTCACACAAATTTTTAATTATTTTGAATTTTTAATATTATAATAAAATAATTATTAATAAAATGGTGATGATGTAAGAAAATGATGTAATGAATGATATAAATGTAATACTCATCTTTGTTGAAAATGTTAGGGAAAAGTGAAGAAAAACACTAATTTAACTCGCTTGCGAAATGGCCTTCTTGCCAAATTATTAGATGATACAGATCCCAATATAGGAGTCACCTATAGAAGAGAAAGACTTAAGCACTAAAGTTTTGGATGATGTGACATCTTCCATCCAAATAGAAATTTGATTGGAAACCTTGACTTGAGGTTGGAAAGTCAAATTATCATAATAACAAGGGATAAACAAGCGTTGAGCATTTGTGGAGTAGATGATGCGTATATATACAAGGTTAAGGAATTAAGAGAGAAGGAAGCTCATCAACTTTTTAATCAGTACGCCTTTAGACAATACTCTCCTATTACAGATTATATGGAGCTATCAAAGAAAGCAGTAGCATATACCAAAGGTCTTCCGTTGGCTCTTAAAGTGTTGGGTTGCCATTTGTGTTCTTGGAAAAAAGAATTTTGGGAAAGTGTAATAAATGACCTAGAAAACAATCCTCTTGATGAAGATATTCTGAAGGTACTAAAAGTTAGTTATGATGGACTAGGAGAAGAGGTTATTTTTAGATATTGCATGTTTCTTAGAAGGGGAGTTGAAAGGTTTAGTAAAGATCTCTACAATCACAATTCATATTGATAAATGTCCCATGTCTGTGGAATACAATTATATAATAAGAACGCATGATTTGCTTCGTGAAATGGGTAGGAAAATTGCTCGGGGTGATACTTGTAAAGAGATTCGGTTGTGTCGTCATGAGGATATCTTCAAAGCATTTGCAAAAGATAAGGCAAGGACTAGCATCATCATCATCATCATCATTATAATTATGGTTATTATTATTATGTTTTTAATTTCTAATAAACTCTTATTCATATCATCAAGGTTTGCCAAAAAAAATATCGGTATTTATTTTCGAATTGAATATTTATTTTTTCCTTTGATGTATGAACACAATCTTCTAGTTCAGATTTAATATTAAAATAATGTCTTTTATACAGAGAAAACATAAATACATCGAAAAGAAATATATCATAGCTACGTTCTATCTTCATATATAATCTTACTTTTCAAGCATAATTATTATGATTGTTATTGTATTAATATTATTATTATTATATTTTCAGATACCAATTAGTATTGCATATTTGAAATCCGTAAATCTTTGTTTGTTTTAGTCATCTCAATGTTTTTATTCATTACTGGAGTGCTGTATTTGTTTGTAAATTATTTATAATTTTTTTTTTTTAAAGAATATAAGTTGTTTATAAAAAATAATTTTATACTTTTGACTGAAAACATATGAAGCTTAAATTAATTTGATGAGCTTTTGTATTTTTTGACTATTTTTAGGAGATTGAAGCAGTACGAAGCATAAGCTTGGATATATCTAAAATAAGCAATTCAAACTTCGATTGGCGTGTTTTGTCAAAGATGCCTAACCTCAGATTCTTCAGAGTATACAATTCACAAGATAATCAAGAAAATAAGTTGAAAGGTTTTCAACACCGTCAGTTCTTCTCCAATGGCCTAAAATTCTTCATGACCTTATTTGGAGTATACAACTCACAAGATGATCACGAAAATATGTTGAAACGTTTACCTTCAAAGAGTCTTGTCAAACTTGATATACCATTCAACAAAGTTAAACATTGGAATGGTGTTCAGGTTTGTATTTTATTATTTATATGGTGGTCTTTTTGTCGAAAGTTATAAATATACGAGGCACTAATTTGAGTTAAGTCGTTTGTTTGCTTTCTTGTAGGAACTTGAAAATTTGAAATATGTTAATCTCAATCACTCTGAGCACATGAAAGAGCTTCCAAATCTCTCAAAAGCCTCAAATCTTGAGAAATTTATTCTACAAGATTGTAAAAGTTTGTTGAAGATCACTCCCTCATCTATTCAAAATCTCAATAAGCTTGACAACTTGCGTCTATGGCGTTGCTCAAGGCTTATTAGTGTACCAGATGGCATTCAGTCAAAAACTATTGACCTCTTTGGTTGCTCTAATCTCAAGATAGCTCCAAGGATCTCATCTGTGGTGCAAGAATTAATTTTAGATGGAACTGCAATAAATGAATTACCCTTCATCGAACATCCATCTGAACTAGTTGCCTTGGTTCTTCCAGAATCGCTTGAGAGTCTCTCGGGCAGCATCTGTAAGTTGAAACTTCTCGAATGGCTTCAAATTAAGAATTGCTCCAAACTGGAAAGATTACCCGTTGACATTGTAGATTTGGAAGCTTCGGAGGAGCTTGATACTTATGGTAGAGTCTCAAAAGAAGAACCATCATCCATCTTTCCAAAACATGGTTGCTTAGACCTAAGTCGAAATGATGAACTGGCACCCTTGAATTGGGTATTGAATTCTTCATCAGGTTCGAGCTCTCGAGATGTTGATGATCAACCGGCACTCTTGAATCCTGTATTGAATACTCCTTTATGGTCGAGCTCTATGTCAGAGCTGGTTTTGGAGAACTGTCAACTCACCAAATTACCTGACTGTCTTGGAGGATTTTCCTTGCTAAAAAGGTTAGAGGTATCTGGAAATAATTTTGAGAGCATACCAGAAAACATCAAAAAGCTTTCTAAGTTGGAACTCCTAAACATAAGTAATTGTCGGAGCCTTAAACTTTTGCCAGAGCTTCCAATGGATGTAAATGTGATAGCATCCAACTGTTTATCCTTGCAGTCAATACCACATCCATCATTTCTATTGTTACCTCATCGAACACCTCGGGTATCAAATTTTACAAATTGATTTGATCTGGATTTACCTAAAATTCTTGAGCAGGTATGTCTTTTGATCCTTTCTCATTTTCAATGATGTTAGTTGTTTTTTAAAAGCAATAGAAAAAAAATGTATAAATCTAAAGCAAAAACTATGTTGTGACGTGATGATTTTCGTTTGCATTTGGTACAGGAATCTTGGGCAAAATTTTGTGCTAATAATTTCCCTGCTGACAAGTGGTTGTGTGCGAATATGTGTTTCCCTGGAAATGAAATTCCTAAAGTGTTTACCATTCAAAGTACGGAAGTTTATATAGTTCTTGATCATTCGCTAGATTGGGATAATGAAAACTTTCTAGGTTTTGTTACATCTGCTGTTGTTTGTCCAAATGAGTTGAATGCCTTTCTTGGTTACCCTGTTACAGTTTGGTTGATGGTGAGGAGCGAATTTATGAGAAATCCATTACACCTTGGGATCCTTATGAGTTTTTATATCTAGATCGCTGCAAAGGATTTGAATTGTCGTCAGACCATGTATTATTCGATTATTTTCCTGCGAGGCGCGAGGAGTTTCTTGAGATTGATTGGGATTCTCTTGATGAGTGGGAGCGGGATTATTTTGAGAAGAAGAATTGTAAAGTGCTCATCAAATTTGATGCTGGAGAGATAGACGTGAAAAGGTGGGGGATCCATTTCATGTACCAGTATGGAGAACCATTGTACAATGATAAAAATAAGAGGAAAGAAAGAGAAACAGAAGAGATTGAAAATATTCAAACTATAAAAGGGGAGAACGACTTATACATACCCAAGATTTATCGTAACGACAAGTTGGTATCCAAAAGGTTTTGAAATGACAAATAGGTACTTTCCGTCATGTTCTGTTAGTGATTTCTGTTTATTACTGTTTATTAATAGTGAAAAGACTAAAATACCCTTAAAAGTTTGAATTTTAGTTTTTTATAAATTTAAAAATTTCAAAAAACCCCCTAAGTTTACAAATTTCACTAAATACCCCAATATATAAAAGTTTTATAAAATAACAAAAACACCCCCCACCGGCAAGTGCCAGATTCCGGCCACCACCGCCGGAATCTGGCCGGAAAGTTGCGTCACGACACAGACCCGTCGGATCTGTGTCGTAACGCGTCGATCTGGCCTTTTCCGGCCAGATCCGTGGCTGATCTGGCCGGAAAAGGCCAGATCTACGGCTAGATCTGGCCGTCGACGCCGCAAAACTCCATCTGCGGCGTCGAAGGCCAGATCTGGCAGTAGATCTGGCCTTTTCCGGCCAGATCAGCCACGGATCTGGCCGGAAAAGGCCAGATCTGGCTGCTGCTTCGACGGCCAGATCTTGCCTTTTCCGGCAAGATCCGTGGCGGATCTGACCGGAAAAGGCCAGATCGGCACGTTACGACACAGATCCGACGGATCTGTGTCGTAATATAGTTTTCCGGCCAGATTCCGGCGATGGTGGCCGGAAATTGGCACTGGGGGTGGTGGGGGTGTTTTTGTCATTTAACAAACATTTTATATATGGGGGTGTTTAATTAAATTAGCAAACCTAGGGGGTTTTTTAGAAATTTTTAAATTTATAAAAAACAAAAATTGAAACTTTGAAGGGCATTTTAGTCTTTTCACTATTAATAAACAAAAATCACTAACAGAATATGACGGAAGGTACCTATTTGTCGTTTCAAAACCTTTTGGGTACCAACTTGTCATTACAGTAAACTTTGGGTATGTACAAGTCGTTCGCCCACTATAAAAATAAAAAAAGGTAAGTTTTGCTTCTGCACCTCATTTTAATTACATGATCAGTTTTTATTTTCCTAATTCATTTTTTTGGAATCTCTTATTTGCCTAGTGGAATGTAATTATGAGATTCTTATATATATATATATATATATATTTTAACTTTAATTTTCTCTATGTTCTATTTTGCAGTCCAATAAAACTCAATGCGAATGCCCGTTGTAACGATGAATCACAATCTTATGGACTTTCCCCCACACGTGATTGGCAATCTAGTGGCTTTAATTCTTTGGATTTGGATGTGAATCAATGGCTTCAAGGTTTTCATGAACCAATGGTGAATGATGGCACAATTAACAAAAGTGGCTTCCGTGATGATGAACAACAGTAGTGGCATTTCAAGTAGTCTACCTGTAAGAGTAGGTGTCTTAGAGTTAATTAATTATTATAAAATTGATTCTGTAATAAATTTTTATTTATCAATAAAAAGACATTCTTTTATATCGTGTATATAATGATATATGTCCTTAGAATAATAGAATCGTGACGAGTGTATCAAGTGTTTCAAATCTTGATAGTGAGAATCCTATAATCATATATGGTAGTCATTCTAGAAACGTCTGTAGTCCCAATATTATTTTGACCAAGGACACAGATAATACGGTAAGACTATCATAGTGTTGGACAACCTTGTCGAAAGGTAGTGACTGATCTTACTTGTCAAGGTTGTTTGTCGACAACCTAATGCAACGCATCGGTGCTTGCTAGAGACAAATTCACTGGACAGACCCACTAGAGGATTCCATATGGATGGTAACCTTAGTGTCTATGGAATAAATTCTCTAACGGATGGTGGTGCATGTGATCCTTAGACTTGAGATCACCGGAGTGCCCTGTGCACCAATTGGTACAGTTTGACACTAGTCCAACGTAATTCTATTCAGAGTTATTAATACGGTAGTGATTGACTACATTGAGAAGTATATCGAGACTATGGTGGATGGACAAAAGATTCATCACTCTTGGGTACGAGAGAAGTTATCTTACTAGGTAATTCAGTAAATGACAATGATACTAAATCTGTGGTCACAGTGGGATTGAGTTGATGCTCAATCCAATTTAATATTCCTGTCATTGGTTTAGTAACTGAATACAAACATGTCGATGATATCTGAGGTTGACACTATTTCTATACCTCAGTCTCGATGAGATAACAGTTGATGAAAGGATTTGATTGCATGGTAACCATACCGTTGACAGGCTGCGGTTTCACTGAATCTGAATCTATCAGGTGGCCATGATGCCTTGCTAGCGGTCAATCTTGGTCTGTGTGTAGTAAGACTATTAATTGGTGTTAATCGCGATACTACACACTACCGATATGATGAGGAGTCTACGGGTCACACACTTAGAAGATAATTTAAGAATCAATTTGTGAGAATGATATTTTCGTCTTTTAGGACGTAAGGGTATTTTGATAATTTTATAGTGCAATTAAATTTGCTGAGGTTATTGCCTATATTTAATATTAATATTAAAATTAAACCAGTGAGATTATATTTAAATATATCTCTGTATATATTTAAATGAATTATTATTATTAATTAAATATTAATATATTATTATATATTAATTGATTTTTATTATAATAATAATTAGTTAATTAAAATACCATAAATGGTGTGTTTGGTTGCAAGGGTAAACTAAGGTTAGAGTCCATGGTTATTCCTAAGTAGAATAGGGTTTTAATTGTTGCACTATATAAGTGCAACTTAATTAAAACACAGAGGGATTATTCATTTAATTAAAACCCTAACCACCCTATCTCTCTCTCTCAAGAAGAAAACATTTCTTGTTCTTCTTTCTTGATTCTTGAAGTCCTTGATTGTTCTAGCAAAATAATCAATGGTTCTTCGGTTTATTTTTGTATGGATTTCCGTGAGTGTGATCCTACTTTGAATCGATTGACGAAAAATCACGTAAACAGTAGACAATGAAAAGTAACCGTGAATAGTATACGATGAATAGTAACCATGAACATTATTTCTGTTCGAACTCAAAGATATTCGAAAGAGCCTCCAAACGTACGTAAGTATTCTAATCATTGAATAGATTTACTTTATACAGATTTTTGTTTATAAACATGTAAACGGTATAATCTATACTCGGATCTAGGCAAAGAAAAGTAATTGATTTACCGATTGAATTTTTATTTTTCCGCTGCGTATAGTAGATCAATTACTTACACTTACTACTTTGTATGAATTCCCTCAAGATTTGTTGTATCTATGGATAATGTAGCTACAATTAGTGAAAGCTTTACGGTCTGCGACATAGCAGAATCTAAGTGGAAAACTGGAAATGGCTATTTTGATGATGAACCTCAACCTATCTTGTGCTTTTGTTTTATAAATACACTGGTAAGTCCTGGCTCTCAATTACTACTTTGTTTCATATATTTAATTTTGCTCTATGTTTATGTGCAATTGATGACTGTAATCAAAATCTATATATCACAAGGTAATTAACTAATTATGTTCTTTACTGTTCAATAGGTCAGGAAGTTGACAGAAAAATTATTAAAGTCATGAGAAGAATCGATCATAAGTATCTTGTAATATGTATGAGGATACTACATTGTTTTTTCTTGGTAACATTGAAATTATAATCCTTACCGATTGTATATAATTTTGTTATGAAATGATTGTGATGATTATCTTTTTCACTAACTTGAAGTTCTGAAAGATTGTGTTGTTAATCATAAAGTATTACCATGTTATATAATTTTGATCTTAATCATAAAATATTTAATCTGATCAAATAAACATATTTAATTTGCATGTAATTGTTTGATAATTGCTTATTTTAAAATATGATTGCCTTTAAAGTAATCTTATATAGAATCAAATTGATTTCATTGAATTGCATTGATGTATTTCATATATGATAAAGACTGACTTACAACTTCGACGTGACAGTTCACAATCGATAAATGGGTAAACGATAGTGAGTAGACATGACCCATTTGCAAGTTTATCAATTGCGAACTGTCATATCGGGATTGTGAAAGAGAGCTTATGAAATTAGGTTATAAGTATAGTATTACATGTTCAGGTTATTTATCAAGAATCAACTTTCACAATACAACACAATATAACTGTTCATACTATCCAATGTTGAGCCAAAAACCCTTCGACTATACTCATAATTACTCTGGTGTGTTACACTTACACTTGCACCAGGGGGAGGCAGCTCTGGATCAAAAAGAAGATTCTCAGGAAGCTTGAAATTACCGTTAGAACAGCTATCCACAAATGAAAGAGGAAAACACAAAAAACACATCACCTTCTGGAGAAAAAAATACTAGCAGGGTTGGTTAATTCCCTAAAGGGTGCCAAAATCCTCGACTGATGATAAATTTCTATAAGGGACGTTTGGTTTAGGAATGTTAGATTACTGAAAATATTGGATTACTGGAAAGATAGATTACCTTGGAAGATTATTGGAAATCTTTAAGAAAATGTGTTTGGTTAGTTGGTGGGTATGTCATATTAATATGTTTGGTTATGGGAAATAAATTAGTGAGTATATTATTTAAATTACTAAATTGTCCCCTTTACAAACATTAATATAATATTATTTTTATTATTAATTTTTGAATAATTTTTTTAACCCCCAATATTTCAGATTTAGTTAAAACACCCCTGCTTATATCAAACTTTAATTTATTATGAAATCACCCTTACCTCCTGTCGTCGCCACCGCAGACCACCGTCAAAAGTCTTCGAAAGTCCCCATCAGACCCTCACCGTGACTAAGAGGCTTTGATATGGCTGTTTCTGGCCATATTGACGGCCGAAAATGGCCATATCAGGCCAGATTTGGCCGAAAATGGCCAGATCTATTCTAGCCATATCAAGCCAGATCTGGCAGATAATGGACAGGGATTTGGCCATTAACGGCCAGATCTGGCCTGATATGGCCATTTTCGGCCATCAATAAATGGCCATATCGAAGCCTCCCACCAAAACTCATTCTTTTTTAAGGACTCTAGCGAGTTTTCGGCAGCGTTCCGTGGTGGTTGGCCGTGTCGGCGGTGGTGGCTAGGTGGCAGTGGTGGTGGTGGCTGAATAGCAGTGGTGATCTATAAATTGTTTTAAATATAAGGACATTATTGTCCAAAATTTTAGTTAAACAAGAGTAAAATTGAAATAGGATATTAATGTAAATTTATTTTAAAATAAAGGCATTATTATCCAAAATTTTCATTATTAAGGGATAAAATTATAACAAAAAAAGATAACCCTGGTAATCTCATAATACCTAAGAAAATGGAGGTAATCAGATTACCTCCAATATTATCAATAGTAACTACTATTGGTATTTGAAAATTATCAGAATCTTATATTACTTAACAACCAAACGTTATAATCAAGTAATATAAGATAACATTATCCCAATAATCTGACATTACCGCCAACCAAACGCCCTCATATTGTTAATTGGCATGGGTACACGGTCAGTCCTAGATTTATGAGGGGATGGAGTCACTCTTGTTGATGAAGTTTTGGGAATTCTTGTCTTGCCCAGAAAACTGTTCATCAAGTTCTATGTCAAACATCATAAACTTCAAGGAGGGGAACTATATTGGTATATGATGAAATTTCATTTGATATCAACGAAGTTTGGCTAATTATAGGTCTACACCACTTTTATAGCAAAAAAATAAAATGATAAAAATGCAATTTCAATAACAATTACATTCTAACACTAATTTGAAAAAGAGGCAAAAACCAATTTTTGAAATGTTGAAAATCATTACAAAACTCTCTAAATTTTGAAAATTATAATAAACCTACATTAAAATTTTGAAAATGATCAAAAACCTGCAATAAAACCATTAGAGCCCTCCTAGAAATTCATATATTTATCATAAATCTTCCTTACAGATGCTTCTGCAAATTTTCAATCCCAACGATCAAGTTGCAACTATAATTAATTAAATTTCAGGGAATTAAATTAAAGAACAAAATCCCATTGCCCTCGCTTTAACACTGACTTAAAAGACAGTCAAATCCCCACTAATATTGACTAACATCTTAAAAATCATAATCCTCCTCTAAAATTCACCAAAAACTCCATTAAAATTCGAAGACCTATTACCAGTCTCCCTAATCGTTAAAACAACTCCTAGAAATTCATAATTTCATCATAAATAATCATCCTAATCGCCTGCTTCCGCCTATTTTTCAGTCCAAACAATCCATGTCCACATATAATTAGATAATACTTTGAGGAATACCTCCTGTAAAATTCACCACTAACCTTATCAACTAAAAACTCCATAAAAAAATCAAAAATCTATAGCAAATAACCCTGAAATAGCTATAAACCTTCTTGAAAATTATCCTTTTTAGAAGGCAAGGCTCTCAACCTTGAGGTCATGGGTTCAAATCCAGGGTAAGTAAGAACATTGCCCGACGGTCAACGGAGTTATTTTTTAAACACTTCATATTCAGCACTTTTGATTTAATACAATTAAGATATGGTATGCTACAAGTAAATATCTGCACAAAAATGAGTACAGATATTTACGATGAGTGAGTTTAATTCAATTCATATAATGTCTATCAGAGGCTAGAGGATATGTATCTCAAGTACACCAATAAGTAGATATCAGAGGATTAATGTATAATCCCCAAAAAAAAAAGGATTGATGTGCCCATTCACAGAAATTTTGGAGAAGAATTGTGTCTAATATGATATATCATATCTTGCTATAGAGAATGCAGAGAAGTTGTAGCCTTCAAAACTCATATTTCACATGCTTTCTAGTACCAGACCTGGTCTTTTCTTGATTCATAAAATGGAACTGCCCCTGTTTTCTGTTAAACTTTCCATGTCAAAACTGCATTTGACCACCTCTACAGTTTCACTGCCAGCCAGAGTCGATTGAGCATAATCTGGAGAAGTTCTAATGCAGAATTGTCAATTAACCATATACATAAACCATAAAAATATACTTCCATACAAATTTGAAAAAAAGTGCATATTACCCAATCATTCAAGTGAAATATGTCAATTAGGGAAGCAAAATGACAAGACAACAACCAATTTCTATAAGAGATGAGGATTTGCAAAATTAGAACAAATTTGTAAGGGGTTTTCAGTTCAAACAATCATCAGCATATTAAAGTGCCAACTGTGGTTCATGGGGAATTCAATCTTACATTCTCCAAAACAATAGGGTTATCATATAAGGATTCTAATAAAATTACATACAAAAGATATGAGATCTAAGGAATTGAAGCAGCCCCCAACAAACGCAAGCCATAAAAGAAAGTCCAAGTCTAAAAAGATTCGAAGATAAAAGCAATCCCAGATGCTCTAGGAAACATATACATAGAAATTTCATGAACCAGAGAACCATGTTGACGATTAGCAGAACATGTCACATAGCTTCGCTAAATTAAGCCAGTGAAACCACAAACCATACCCGCTTTCAATCAAAGATACCAAGCATTTATGTGAATTGCTCTACCCAAACAATCAAAAAATATTTCACTACATCTTAACAGTTTATCGACACCCTGAAACAAGTCGAGCATTGGCAGAATACACAAACATATGACTGACAAAAAAGTACACAGAAGCAGATATGAACACTGCAGAACACCCAGCCTTCATCCAGCAACAAACTAGTAAAAACCCACTGGACCCACATCAGAAAATGAGGTAATGAAGACATAAATTAAAGTTGGCTAAGCAAATAAGCAAGAAGAAAGATCATAAACATGGAGATATTTTTCACATAGCATTCTCTTAGCAAGTATATCATCAAAGTAATGGTGAAGAGCCTCCAATTACAACCTTGGCAAGAATATAAAAAGGAGAAGGTTTTAGTCTTACAGAGTTTTAGTCTTACAGAGTATCTCTATTGACCAACTAAGATGCTGTGCACTGCAGACCTGGGAACAGACAAAGCCAGAAAAAAGGTCACAAAGATGGTGGTATTCATCATATGAACTAGTTTGTTACTCCTAACACATAGTCCATAGAACACCAAACTAAATTACCTACAACAAATTAAATTAATCAAAACATAAATTAATAACAACAACAACAATAAATTAAATTAAAAGCTGTGCTAACGGTCCAGAAACATTATCGATATGTTATGTTTCCTGCGATTATCTTCCTCATCGGCATCTTTTCTCCATTGTCTATTTTCCAAAACTGGTGAGCCCAGGGTAAAGTTCCGGCATCGTTGCCGGACCAGCATTGTAATATTCTCCTACCACAGAACTTTTTAGTTATTTTTTTTTTAATAAAAATTGTAAGTTCAGGTCTTTGCTGGTCCTGTATCGTTACTGGACTAGAATTCTCATACTCTCCAAATGAAGAAATGAGAACGGGCAAAAATTAACGGTAAAAACACAGTGTGAGCTAGTAATAATCTTTCTCATAAGAATTGAGGGAGATTCGGCCCAACCAGTCTAGTTTCATTTCATATTTAGCAAAAATTCCAAAAAATTTCTAGCCCTAGGATCTAGAAACCAAAGGGATGAGCTGTGTCCGTAACGTTACGGAGCCAGCAGGCGAAGATGAGTCAAAGAAAGGACGGAGAGAGTCGAGATCATACGCACCTATGTAGACGTTGCAGCGAGAATTGCCGGACATTGCTGGAGTTGGAGACGAAATGACGACGGATTGGGAGTTGTTAGAATAAGTGAAGAGGAAAAGATAAGGAGAGGGTGCCATTGGCCAATGAAGAGATTTATTTGTGTGTGGTGTCTCTCTTATTTATATAGAAGAGACAGCGAATTGAGGAGTGAAACGTGGTGATCAAATGAATGTTGTGTTTCAAGTGAGGGTAAGATGGTCATTTCGAGTTCTGTTGATGGCTTACTTGTGTCTTGTGCTCCCTTATTTTACATGCATTTGTTCTATAGTGTAGAATATTATCTAATTAAATAATTAGGAATTTTTTTTTTGGATAATTTAATTAAAATAGAGCTTATATAAATAAAGCTGTATAAAAATTATTGATTAATTTGATGGATAAATATAAAAGAAATTTTAATTTCAACTTATTTGTAAAACATGAACATGATATAGGATTATTTTAAAATTTTAAATATATATTTAATTAACAGAAAAAAATTAATTCACCTTTTTTTTTAGGGTAAAAATGAAAAAAATTTAATTTCTAATTGAATTTATATCTACTAGTAAACATTGTCCACGCGTTAAAAATCGATAACAAGTTAGACTTCAATTACAAGTCTACTATTAAGACAGTCAATATAAACTGATTTCTTACCAGAGGGAGGAGCTCTCCCCCTTTTGCCCCCTCACTCCTTATCACCTTCACATCCTTACGTAAGCCCAAAAGAAAAAAGGGTGGAGGAATCACCTCTACACCGCACACATGTAATCAGCTAGGGGGAGGGAGAGTGACTCTCTATAACCAATCAATGGCTCAAAGAGAAGTATACCCTTAACCAATAACATGATAGAGGGTGTAGGCTTGGGAATCATCTGCCGAACCTCTTTAAAAATCTTTTCTCACTTCATACTCCCTTCAATTATTTTATAGATCCGTCAAGATCGTTCGAGTCTCCATGGTTGTTACGGATATTCGTAACAACAACTCTTTTCTATCCATCTCTTTTTATCCCCCATAATTTATAAAATTGATTAAGATATGTTGCATGTGCTAGAGTCAAACGGTCATTAGCTAGTGGGGGACTTCTAGGTGATTATGTTACTTATGGTAAACCTCAGGGAGGAAACTACCCTTATTATAATCTTTAATTTCAAATATATCATCAACGATTTTATGGCTTTAGTTAACAAAATAATAAGGGATATGAAATTTCATTAATATCATCCTTTTAAATAGCCAATAAAAACACTTTTCTACTATGCAAGGTTATCTAATGTGACATTTACTAGATAAATATAGTTAGTATTTTCTATCATTTGAGCAATTAGCAGAATGCATATATATCAATACGTTATACAGTAGAACCTCTCTATAGTTATAATGGTAGAATTAATTAATTTTATTACTGTGGGAAGATTATAACTTAATAAAGATGTAGTTACAAAAATTTCTTATTTTATAATTCATGTTTTAGTAATACAATATTAGGATTTTAATTCATGTTTTAATAGTATTAGGATTTCACTACAGCGTTTCAATTGTCTACTTTTGAAACAGATAGAAGATCGTGTATTGGAACTAGCAAAGATAAGTGTTCTCGATGGAATTGTGAATGTAATTGTTGCATGGTCAATTGATATGAAGTCATAGACAATTGTCAATCGTTTTAAGCATTATAAAATTAGGACTCCCAATGTCGACGAATTGCAAGTTACAAATAAAATGGATGAAGAGAATCAATGAGTCATTATAGAATTGAGTGATCAGATTCGACAACTTTACTTCACTAATTAAATAGATGTTATAACTGAAAAAGAAGTCATTGCTACAATTAAACAAGAAGAGAAAGGAAATAACCATGAGTATGATAGTACAGAAATACAAAAAGCTTCAGGCCAAGAAGCTCTGAACATGTTTGAGAAGCTAGAAATATTTTGGCTTCAACAAGAAGATGTACATGCTAACAAATAATATACCCACTAGTTAAAAGATGTCGTAATAACTCTAAAGCATAAATTATTGTTCCAAACAATTTTAAATAAATATTTTATTTCATTTTAAACATTTAATGTAATATAACATATTTTTTTTTTATAATATATAGACAATTATTACTATATGAAGGCAACTTAGAAAAATTATAACTTATTACAATGTGAAGTTTATTCTTATTTATAACTATTCTAAATTGGGAATAAATTTTTTTATGACTATGTAGAGTTTATTTTTATATAGAATATTACTATAGAGATGTTTTACTATACATAAATATAATAATGTAATTTTATATATATATAAAAGAAATAAGCACCATTGTATTACAATCAGGATGAAAATTTTAATAAAGATGAACAATAATATTTCACATTCTATAATATGGATATTTATACGGGCGAGAACATAATTTAACGAGAACTACGGAAACTTAAGAAACCAATTGATTTCCTATAATAAAAACAACCAAGCATCTTCTTGAGAAAGAGTAAATTACTAATCTTTGCTGGGGTAACGTAATCAAAATGGTCTGACTTCAAAAAAAAACAAATTTATAGTATTCATATTCCATGTTTGACAAGAAATAGACATCAAAATCTATGGTTGCAAAAATAGGGTCCGATCCTATAAGATTGAAGCCACTAACAATCTACTGCTGCACACATACAAAGAAACTGGCGTGAAGCGAACAGGAAACACCGGGATGATGTTTGCCGCAGGTACTCTAACACTCAAGTCAGTAAAGAAAATGGAGACTTTTTAGTGAGGGTTGAGGGAAAGGAAGAGTTACCAATAGAGGTGGAACAAATGGGTCGGGTTAGGCGGGTCAACCCTAACCCAGCGCGCATTAAAGAGGGTTCAACCCAGACCGCCAATAAGGCGGGCCGGGTTGAACCCAACCTGCATGCAACCCCTGGGCAGGCCGGGTTGATATATGGTAACCTGACGACCCGTGGGTTGCTATTTTGTCTTTTTTGGAGAAGGCCCGCCAACCCGACAGGTTGACCCGCAGGTTGGCTGTTGCAAACAGCGGCCAACCCGTCGAGTTGACCCCCGGGTTGGCAACAGTCAGCCTGGAAGGTTGGCCGAAAAATAATAAAAAAAAATTAATTTTTTTTCGAATACCCCTTTTACCCTTGAAATATAGCCGTTTTATAGTAGTTGGAGGGTCTTTTTCGTCATTTTCTTTTCCCATTTTTTTCTATAAATTGGCCCTAAACTCTCATATTTTCTCACATCTCAAATTCTCTCATTTTCTTTAATCTCTCAATTATTCTCTTTGTTATCAATATGCTCTTATTTTAATTTTTATTAGTTTTTGCAATTTTCAATTCATATTTCCATATTCCAATTCTCCTTCTTTAATTTTTTATTTCTTCTACATCAAATTTTTTTTTAACTACAATGGATAGATATTTCTCTCCCATCAATTTCAATGATGAAGGAAACTACTATTCTAGTCCTAATCCCGCTGAATTTACTAACATAAATGCAGGAGATTTAAATAGTCCCGCTTTCCTAGTCTCAGAATCTGATACACCTCAAAATATATCCGCGATTCCTCCCCATGCTGCTACACCTACAGCTCAGGGTGGTTCTAGAAGTCGTCCTCGTCCAACTTCATCTCAAGCTGAAGTGGGTTCGTCAACTATTGTCAAAATCGAAGATAGACACACATCAGACGTTTGGGTGCATTTCGACAAGTTTTACAAGACAGAAAATGGAGTTCAAGTCAAGAAAGCAAGATGCAAATATTGTAGAAATATTTATAAAGCTGATTCAGGTAATGGTACTAGTACTTTAAAAAGGCATGCTAATAAACATATTGCTCAACATGGAAATAGAGAAACCAATCAAACTCAAATAACTAATATAGGTACTACTTAGCATTATAATTCTGATGTATATAAGGAACAATTAGCTTTATATATTGTTGCAACTGATTAACCTATTAATATGGTTGAAGATAAATATTTTGAAAGATTTATTAAAAATTCATTTTTTCCAGGATTTAAAAGTTATTCTAAAACTGCAACTAGAAATGATTTAATAAAATTGTTTGGGAAAATGAAATTAGAATTAAAAAATAAAATATATAGTTGTCATGTTAGTGTGGCTTTAACTGCCGATATTTGGAGTGGTAGAGCTAAACAAGATTATATTTGTATGACTAGTCATTATTTTGATAACAAATGTAAATTAAATAAATCTTTATTAGGATTTAGATTAATAGATGTGGATCATAGTAGTCAACAAATTTATAATAAAATTGTTGAAGTTTTAGAAGATTATGATATTGTTAATAAAGTGATAAGTTTAACTTTAAATAATGCAAGTGCTAATACTACAGCTATAGATTTTTTTCAAAGTAATTATCTTTTTTATAACAATTTGAAGTTTTTCACCAACGTTATGCATGTCACATTATTAATTTAATTATGAAAAGTGATATGAAAACAATTAAAGAAAATATTGATAGAATTAGGGATTGTTTAGCTTGGATTACAGGTAGTAATAAAAGAAATGCTGAATTTCAAGATGCTTGTATAAAATCAAATATGTCTCCTAAAACTTTTGCATTACACATGCTTGTTAGATGAAATAGTACTTATTTAATGCTTGATTCATGTTTACCTTATGCAAATTTAATTAGTTATTTTGTAGCAAATAATAGAGGTTCTCATTATTTGGTAGAAAATTATTGGCATATAGCTAAAATATTTCATTCTTTTCTTAAATTTTTTTATCAATCCACTTTACAACTTTCTGGTGTGTATTATCTTACTAGTCCATTGGTAATACGTACAATTATAAAAATTTCAGAGTTATTTACAAAAAACAAAAACAATGAAATTTTAAAGGAACCAATAAAGGCAATGGATTTTTTTTTTTTTTTAAATATTGGAAACCCATTCCTTTTCTTTATCGTTTAGGAGCTATTTTTTATCCTATAATTAAAGTAGCAGGTTTAGAAAATGGTTTAGACACATTATCTGAAAATTTACAAAATGAAACATATGCCAATCAACTAGGAGAGGTAAGAGATTGTCTTACAGAGGTATATTTCCAATATGAAAATGTTAGAGTAGATGCTCTAGAGCTAATCAATTATTGTAGAATTGACTTTTTGTAATAATGTTCATTAATCAATAAAAGGCATTTTATTCTATATCGCGTAAATCATTATTATTGCAATATGTATCGATATATGTTCTTAGAATGGTAGAGCCGTGACGAGGGTATCAAGTGTTTCAAATCTTGATAGTGAGAACCCTATGAGTACATATGGTGGCCATTCTAGAAACGTCCGTAGCCCCAGTATTATTCTGAACTAAGGGCACAGATAATACGGTAAGGCTNAGAGCTTTAACCGGGAAACCTGCTGGCATTACAATGCTTCAAAGAATTGGAAGTGGGATGTTTCTATCTATTTTAACCATGGTGATTGCAGGTTTAGTTGAGATGAAACGGCTTAAAACTGCTGAAGAATATGGATTGATTGATAAGCCGAATGTGACAATTCCAATGAGCGTATGTTGGTTGATTCCTCAATATGTCGTAACTGGTGTTTCAGAGGCTCTCACAATGGTTGGTCTTCAGGAATTCTTCTATGATCAAGTTCCTGTTGAATTAAGGAGTGTTGGACTATCTTTATATCTAAGTATTTTTGGTGTTGGCAGCTTTCTTAGCAGCTTTCTAATATCTGTGATTGAGAAAGCAACAAGTGAAGATGGGCACGAAAGCTGGTTCGCTAATAATCTGAACAAGGCACATCTTGATTACTTTTATTGGCTTCTTGCTGGATTCAGTACTGCAGGATTGGCTGTTTACATGTATTTTGCAAACTCATACATTTATAATAACAGGGTAACTTAGTTTTCAAATACGAAATTTATCTGATGTAAAACCTGTTAAAAAATAATAATAAAAATTGTAGGGTCCAGCAATTATCTGTTTACAAGTATGAACAATCCAACCAAAAATTTCAAAATGTATAGGGCCGGTTTGTTACACTTTTTTAAAAATGTTATTTTGAACAAGTGTTTTAAATTGAGTTGAGTTGAACCAAATCGAATTGGATTTTAGTCTGAAAATATGTTTGGTAAAATATCTGAAAATTATATCATAGTTGGATAAAATACTAAACAGTTGTTTGGTACATTTTCTAAAAATTGCTTTTAAGACAAAATAGTTGTTTGGTATTTTTCTAAATATATTTAGATTATTTTTTTTAACCCCTTACATTTGTTAATTTAGCTAAATACTCTCGCAATAAAAGTTTAAAAATTAACAAAAGCACTCTAGCCACCCAATAGGGCAGCCAGTTGCCGACCACTACTACCGGACGGTAGTCGCCAGAAAATGAACAATCTGCTGGATCTGACTGATCATGCATTGATATGGTCGTTTCCGACCAAATCTACCATGGATCTGGTCAAAAATGGCTAGATCTACGGCCAAATCTCGCCTAGAATCTGGTTGGTCTGGCCAAATATAGCCAAATCAGCACACGACCAGCCAGATCTTACTGGTCATGCGTCGTCCTGACTGTGTCAGTTAGTGGCAACGACGGTGACTAATGGCTGACGGTGGTTACTGGCAGGCAGATTAATTTTCAGTTGGAAGGAGAGAAAATGAGAAGAAGAGAAAGAAAAATGTTTTCAGTTGAATAGAGTGAGATAATTTGAAAACAAGTCACACTCTCTTTTTTATTTTTAAACAAAAAATTTTATATAAGGTGGATTAATTTTTAGATTAGATTGACCAAATAAGTAAAAAAACACTTATCTTAATTTTTAATCCAAATAAAATAAGAGAATAATGATCTATAATAGTATAACAAACAGGGGCTATGATACTATTTGAATGGAATTGAAAGCCTAATTCTTGAGTAGGTGGCAGAAGTGTCTGTGAAAATAGTAAATATAATTCAGTCTTAAATAGAATGATATTAATGATGACCTCGGCCCTCGGGCAACAGCTGCAACCATAAAAAAGTAAAAAAATAAAAAATAAAAAACAGATTACATACAATTTGTATTATGTTCAAGTTATTATAATTACTCCAGAAGGATCTAAGTAGTGCTCTGTTTCTTAGTGGCTGGAAGCATTAGAACTCTGTTCCAATAGCCAGATAATAAATGAGTATAAAAAAGTTGAATAAGATCATTTGCAACTGAAATCTGGTCTTGCATAAAGTAAACTAACAAATTACCAAAAGGCAATAATTGTAACCAAATAACCCTTCACAAATTTATAACTAATCAATTGTCTTGTAGTCCTTTTATAGATATGTGCAAATACGAGGAGAAATGGTCGAATACAGATTCAGAAAATAATCACTTAAAAAGAATATAAACAGAATATTTGCCAAAAAAAAAAAAGAGGAATAACATAGACAATTTGTATCTCATTCGGTCAGTTCTAACAATGTTATACGAAACTTTTATACTCATTCTTAGAAGAAATGACAGCCCCAAATGTGCTTAATTTACTACTGTTCAAGTTTCATAACAATAAGTTTCTTCATTTAGTTGCACATAAGCTCAACAACTGCAACTCATTTAATTTTTTTTTTTCTATTTTAACATCGTATGTTTCTTATTGTGTGTGATTTTTCTATTAAGTTTGGAGAAGTCAGAAGCCCGCGAGGATATAGTTCGACCTAGAATCGGTTCGACTCAACACTAGTCTGACCCATCATAAGCTCATAGAGAGATAGCTCGATCCAACACAAACTGGTCGTGACCAACTCTGACAGTTGTTCGACAAATCAGGGATAAGCTCAAATATCAGATATTCGGAAGAGATAAGATTAACAGCAATGATAGTGCGATCTTAACACTCAATGACGGGAATATCGGAATTGTAATTTGAATTTGATTGCAATCCTGATAATTTCTCTCTTTCCTTCATCACAAACTTGTATATAAACTCTCTTCAATGATGAGGTAAGGGTTAGCAAATTATTCTAGGAAAGTTTATTGTTATTCTTGTAATCTATCAAAAACAATAAGATAACGGTGGACGTAGACTCAAGTTCTAACTCGCTAAACCACTTTAAAAATTATTTGTGTCAGTAACATTATTATTGCATTATTACTTTCAATTGATTGTTTATCATTAAATCGCGCATATATCGGTTCCAATTCTTCCAAGGTCAATTGGATTACCCGGGTTGGTGTGATTTTCGTATCAACATTTCTCTCAGCTGGAATATATAAAATTGAAATCAACTCACCATGTTAGAAAATTTTCTCTGACTGAGAAATACAACCCTGAAAATATGTTCTGGGTATGATGGATCGCTTAAGCGATCTGGTGTATTGCTTAACTGATCTGGTACGTCTGGTAATGCAGTAGATAGATCACTTAAGCGATCAGGTATGTAGCATAAGATCGCTTAAGCGATCTACTAAAAGTCTGGTGTATAGGAGCAGATCGCTTAAGCGATCAGTAAATGGCATAAGATCGCTTAAGCGATACACCAGGCCATATAAGCAACTGTGCATATTCTTTTTAAAATATTTGAACCCTTGGTACAACATTTAAGAATATTTTTTTTCTTGCATTATAGGTAGTTGGCTATTATTACACATGGGACAAGTTGTTTTGGGTGTTGAATATTTTGGTGAGTGGGTGGAGGAAGAAAGTAGCTGGAAGTGGATTGGGAAGAGCAAAGAAGTTATACCAATTGTTGTGAGCATAGAAGTTAGTTTTGATGAGTTGATTGATGAAATAATTAGAGGAGGTGATTTGAGTTGCTCGCGTAGTGATATAGTTGTGAAGTATGTTTTAAGCAGAGTTCCTGAACATTATAAGGTACCTCCTACTATATTAAAGTCGGATGAAAGTGTGAAGTTATATATGATTGATGTGGCCGATAATGGTTCGAGCCGATTTTAAGGGTTTCTTTTGTAGAAAAACCGTTCGAAGTTGGTTCAAATGAAGGGGATAACGAGGAAGTAGGCGGAGATTTGTCTGGTTTTAATTTGAACTACGAGGCCATTGATTAGTTAGTTGAAAAATCAAGAGTAGACGGTGAATTAGGTGGTGAGGAGGAGATTGTAAAAGAGGTTAGTGATGGGGGGCAGAATGAAAATTTTGAGGAGAAGGACCCCATAGATGTTCCCAACCCCTAACAAATTTTGTATTCTTCACTTTGTGTCCAAGATGTAACTCATAACCTGTAATCTATAAAGCACGACTGAATTCGAGATCAATTATCACAATTCACCTAAAATTCGTCAATCAAACCAAACACAAACAATTATCCTCAATCATTACTATTTTACAAATTGAACTTCACCCATGAATCTATCATTGTTTAACCACACAATCATTCTTAATTTACTATAACGAATTGCCATTTGCAGGGGAATTGATATTAATAATATTATTAATGTTTATAAATTTATTAATTTAATGTTAAAATTGGTTAAGTGGGTATTTAAATTATACCAATATAATTTTATTGAGAATTAATATTAGAAACATAGTAATTATTGAATTAAAATAAGTGAATGCATACTACAATGTGTAAATTGGATATGTTATATTAATTAAGTGATCATACCTACACTGTAAATTGTAAATGTTATATTATTACAGTAATTATATTATTTAATTATACTGAATACTTATAATTAATAAATTGTTTAATCATCTTAATTAAGTTTATAATATTGTTATATAGATATGTTTATATTAATGTTAATAATCATACCATAAATTTATAATAGAATGTTATAATTAATAAAATTAGAATTAATTTCGGCTAAATATGTGTCAAATTAGTAAATTACTAATGTTGTATAGATATATGCATACTCATTAAGTAACTCATAATTCTGTAATGTTATATGTAACTTATATGACATATCGTATAATAGAAGTATAATGTAATGTTATAATGAAATAAGTATCATACTACAAATCTATAATTAAGTAATATTTTTTCATTAATTAATTTCAAATCATTTAATTATATATACTAATTGTTATAATGGAATGTTATCATTGATAAGTAATCATATTACAAATAGAAAAGTATGATGTTAAATTAATTAAATTTTTAATCGTTAATTAAGTATTGTAATCAGTATAGTAAATTAGTAAATTACTAATGTTTTCGAATGTAATTGTTAATAATTGCATATAATTATGTAATATTAATCACTTTAACTATGTAATGCTATAATTTAAGTAAGTGATCATAATATAATATGAAATTAATAATATATAATTAATTGAGTAAGTTAATTACCTATAACGTAATGTTTAATTAACTGTTTATAAGGTAAGGTGTTATAATTAGTTAAAATTTTATCATAGTTATTAAGTATTGTGCTATGTTACTGTAGCAAATTAGTAATATTACAGTTTAAAACATAAATCATAACTCATACTGCAAGAATTAGTAATTAAGTAATATGTAATGTTTAATTAATTATATAACATATTATAATGTAATGTTAATAGTGAAATTAGACCTATTAAATAATCATACTATAATGTTTAATTGTAATTGATAATTAATTAATGTTTTAATCTTTAATTAAGTTGTGTACTAAAATGTTGTATTATAAGTCAGTAATTAAGTAGTAATTCATTAATGTAATGCCATAATTAATTATACTGATATCATTAGTATAGTTATAAATTATAATTAATTAAGTATTTAAACGTTCGATAATGTTATATTTATTAAGTATGATCTATATTAGTGATAAATTTATAATGTTTAGTCAATTTTATCATATAATAATTAATAATTCTAATTATTTAGATATACTAGAATTGCATAATTGAAGTAAATAACCAAATAATACTTTGACTCAATCAAATATACTATTTTGATTCAAACAAATATTTATTTTAATACATAAAATGTAAAACACTTTTAATTGGATCATAAACTTTTGTCCAATGTCAACTTATTGAGTCCAAACTTTAATATTATGTATTATAATATATGTAAGGACTTTTAATGAGGTTGTAATTTAGTATGTATAAGTATAATTGTATTCGTATATTGATATTAATTAGGTTATTCCTTCAAAAATTTTAATAACTTTTTCTATTTAAATTTTTTTATGTAAACTAATAAGAAACGCCCCCTTATTTACGTTCACAATTTTGACTTATAGATCCAGGTTCCAAAATAGGTTCTAGAAAAGGTTCCACATATAGGTTCCAAACATGTTCCAATATAGGTTCCAAACAACAGTTCCAATAGGTTCCACAAAGGTTTCAAAAAGGTTCCAAAACCGGTTCCAAACAGGTTCCAAACAGGTTCCAAAAACAATTTCAAAAAACAGGTTCCCAAACCGGTACCCTTTTACAGGTTGGGTGTCCGGTTGTCGGTCCTCCGGGGTTAAGAACCGGAACGGAACCGTACAGTATGGTTCCAAAAATTGGAAAGGAACCTGACCCCTACAGTGTCAGTTCTGGGTATGTTTCGATTCGCGTTGGCCCGGTTCTTACCCCGGTTCGGTTCACCGCTACCCGTGCTCACCCCTAAACTTAGGTTACTTTTCTTCTAAAGTTATTTTAGGTCTAACCCGGTATCATATAACAAGTTTGAACCGCTCCTCAACAAACAATAAAAGTAAAAATTTATAAAAGGCCAATTATAAAGAAGAGTATAGGCAGAAATAAGACTTAAGATAATAGAAGACCGGTTTATTCCAATCCATCAACAATAGATTATAAAGTATGCTAACCTAACATCATGAACTGATACAAAATTGGATGTGCTATTTTAAATGGTATGGGCAAAAATAGGAAAGCGTTTTGCGAAGTATGTGGGGGAATATTCTTTAGAATAAGATGTCATATCACAGAATAAGATCTTCTTCTAAGGTGCTTTTTATCCTCTAAACAGGAAAAATGTTCAATCGTTTCTATTTATTCGGTGTTTTCTACATTAATATCTAAGCATGAAAAAAAAAAAAAAAAAAATGGTTTTATATAAAAGTGCATGTTTTGGGAATATTTTGCACAAAGATGTACTTGATATTAAAAAAATATTTTCCTAATATTTTGCAAATCTGAATAGGTGAATAAGGCCAGTTGGGTGAAATTTGCAACGTGTGCCGATCGACACCAAGATAGACTGCATATGAGCAGATTTCTAAATCGTTTAATATATCATGCTAAAGTGATTATATAACGTAATGAATCAATATAATAATTAAACCAATCTAGCCAACGGATAATTGTATATATACTCAAAGTATTCATCAATTCCCCAAACATACTTTGACAAACGAACCAAACGATATGACCATCCCAATCTCTCGTGTAATACAGAACCTTTCTCGAACAAGCCACCGTTGAGGATGCTGACTACAAAGGGCGTCCAGTGTACAGAGCCAGCTCTGGTGGGTGGGATCAGCGTACTTCATTATTGGTGTTAATGGCTGCAGAGTTCGCTTATTATGGAATTGGCTCCAACCTTATACCTATTTGACTGGACATCGGGTCAGTCCACGGCAACTGCGGCAGAGAACGTCAACATCGGTCAGGCCAAGCGTCGTTGCTGCCGTCTTTTAGAGCTTTTTTGTGACTTCTTTTTCTGGACGTTACGGACTATTGTTATGCTTCTGCTATATATTACAAAATGTGTCCCCTTGGGTTATTCTCTCTCACTTTCAAGTTTAAAATTAAGTGACTCGACTTTATCTTTATTTTATTGGTTGAGTTGAGATATATAGAGTATTTAATAGGTCATTTTATAATTATTATAATCTTAATAATATTAAATCATAGACATCTCTGCACATGTGTGTACAATATATTTATGGTCATATAATTTCAAATTTTGCCAACCAATTGACCAATTAAACATCTCTATTAATAGGTGAGATCTTCTTTATTTTAATTTCTATAAAAACATTCATGTTAGTACTCTTTGCAACCTGCAGGGGCTGGGCTTGTTGACTCTATCGGCTATGGTTACCTTCTGTCAGCTCTGGAAAGAATTTCCAAGTAATCTTTCTTCTTCTCTTTAATCTGGTAGCAATTGGACAAGTGGGACACACCAGCACTGCGTTCAGGCTTTTGGTGCAGATCAGTTCGATGGAAAGACCCTGTGGAATGCAAGTGAAAAGTTCATTCTTCAATTGGTGGTAGTTTGGGTTAGGTGCTGGTACCTATTTGCCTACTTGTCTATTCTATTCCAAGAAAGCTTAATTGCTCTTGGATTCGGAATCACCTTGCATGTCAATGGCACTAGCATGCTAGTTTCATTGTCGGAACTAGGACTTATCGCAGGCATAAAGGGAATAGAAAAATCCCTTTTAAGAATTGGGAAAGTCTTTGCTGTTGCAGTCAAGAACTGGAGGCGGACTATGCTCCTGGTTTGGCTCTTAAGTGAAGAAGTGGAAGCTCATGGAAACTTACCTCATGAAATTCTGGGCATTCCAGTAAGCGAAAATTTTTTGAGAATGTTTGTTTCTTTCTTTAACTTTATGTAACTAGTTTTGTATCAATTGAAACTCGGCAGGTTCCTCGATGAGCTCTACTTCCACCGGAGATTCGAGGAATATGGACGCATGAGTAGCATTAGAAGTTGAAGAAGCGAAGCATTTCTCAGGCCTTGTTCCGATATGGTTACAAACTTGGTTTATGCCCTTGTGTTTGCACATCTTCAACTTTCTTTACGACCAAGGAGCTACAATGGACAGGGGTTGCATCAGTTTCCGAATACCAGCCGCTTCACTTCAATCCTTCACCAGCCTTTCCATTGTTCTCACCATGCCATTTATGACTGTGTTTTTGTCCTATAGCAAGAGCTTTAACCGGGAAACCTGCTGGCTTACAATGCTTCAAGAATTGGAAGTGGATGTTTCTATCTATTTTACCATGGTGATTGCAGGTTTAGTTAGATGAAACGGCTAAAACTGTGAAGAATATGGATTGATTGATAAGCCGAAGTGACAATTCCAATGAGCGTATGTTGGTGTGATTCCTCAATATGTCGTAACTGGTGTTTCAGAGGCTCTCACAATGGTTGGTCTTCAGGATCTTCTATGATCAAGTTCCGTTGAATTAAGGAGTGTTGGACTATCTTATATCTAATATTTTTGGTGTTGGCAGCTTTCTTCAGCTTTCTAAATGTGTGATTGAGAAAGCAAAAGTGAAGATGGGCAACGAAAGCTGGTTCGCTAATAATCTGAACAAGGCACATCTTGATTACTTTATTGGCTTCTTGCTGGATCAGTACTGCAGGATTGCTGTTTACATGTATTTGCAAACTCATACATTTATAATAACAGGGTAATTAGTTTTCAAATACGAAATTATCTGATGTAAAACCTGTTAAAAAATAATATAAAATTGTAGGTCCCAATTATCTGTTTACAAGTATGAACAATCCAACCAAAATTTCAAAATTATAGGGCCGTTTTTGTACACTTTTTAAATGTTATTTGACAAGTGTTTAAATTGATTGAGTTTGAACCAAATCGAATTGGATTTTAGTCGAAATATGTTTGGTAAAATATCTGAAAATTATATCATAGTGGATAAAATCTAAACAGTTTGTTTGGTACATTTCTAAAAATTGCTTTTAAGACAAAATAGTTGTTTGGTATTTTTCTAAATATATTTAGTTATTTTTTTACACCCCTTACATTGTTAATTTGCTAAATACTCTCGCAATAAAAGTTTAAAATTAACAAAAGCACTCTAGCCACCCAATAGGGCAACCAGTTGCCCGACCACTACTACCGGACGGTAGTCGCCAGAAATGAACAATCGTGCTGATCTGCATGTCATGCATTGATATGGTCGTTCCGACCAAATCTACCATGGATCTGGTCAAAATGGCTAGATCTACGGCCAAATCTCGCCTAGAATCTGGTTGGTCTGGCCAAATAGCCAAATCAGCACACGACCAGCCAGATCTTACTGGTCATGCTCGTCCTGACTGTGTCAGTTAGTGCAACCGACGTGACTAATGGCTGATCGTGGTTACTGCAGCAATTATTTTCAGTTGGAAGGAGAGAAAATGAAGACCTGGGAACAGACAAAGCCAGAAAAAAGGTCACAAAGATGGTGATATTCATCATATGAATATCATTTCTCCATACTAGCAAATAGCTGCCGGCCTTGTTCTACCAATCCCACATGGCTACAGGCTGTAAGCACTCCTATAAATGTAACCAGTGGCCATCGCAGTCCAGGCCACCATATCCTTTAAAGGCAACCCATCAAACAATACACTAGCAGATTTCATATCTCCGCTCTTGGTATATGCAACAATCAACTCAGTCCAAGAAATCACGTCTTTCTCAGGCATTTCATCAAACACCTTACACCCACAATCTAAAAACCCGTATTATACATACATATCAATCAAGGTATTACCGACATATAGATGAGACACAAAACCCCCGACCAAAATTGTCTGAGCATGCAACTGCCTACCCAAATTCACATCAAGAATCCCACGAATGAGAGCAGGGGTTTCTATATTTCACCGATTCAAATTGGGGAAGAATAGGGTTTGTTTGGGTTTTGGTTTGGAGAAGAAGAAAAGAGCCGTTGGAGTTACTATTGAGGTGTGCAGGAGAAGTTACTCTTATAAGTGGAGGAAATTCTCATGAATCTGACACTCAGTGTTGCAAATAACAATAATTTGATAACACCACTACAGCACGACATGAACATGAACCCAAATCGGGCTGAGCTAGGTTGAGCTTGAGATTTCAACCCATTGGACCTTGCAAAAGCACACCCCAAGTTGGCTTGTGTCTGGCACTGTCCATTCATGTGTCCTTTTTATTTTTTTAAATTTAATTTTATATTAAATTACGTTATATTCATATTCTATTTTAATATTAAAATTATATTTATTTATAATTTTCTTATATACAGTACATACTAATTTGAGTATTACCTCACATCTTTAAATCACTTAATTACGCTTGAGCTTTTATGATTTATGAGAAAATTATTTAAATCAACCCTTTCTTAATTTGAAATAAGTTTGAAAACTTTATAAATATAAAAAAAAGCATTTGAAATAGTTAAAAAAATATTACAAAATGTCAAGAATTGGGAATTAAGATTTAAATGATAACCGTATTTTTAATAAAAAAGTTTTATAAATTTAACATCACATTTTTAACACGTTTAATTAGATGTCCAATTGTTCACCCCAAAAGTTTGATGTTATTTTAAGATTTATCGCTTATGAATTTCACTAGAGTCACATAATCAAATATAGTAACAAGTATCATCATGTATGGACCCAACTATTTATGCGTGACTGCTAGGGACTCGGTCCTTCTTTTTGTTATTTTGGTTTAGTGTAGCTTAGTTTTTTTTTTTTTTTTTTTTTTACCATCTTGTATTTGTATTAACGTTTTTATATTTGACTCAACTTAGGTAGGGGTGAGAGGTTCCGGGTACCCTGCACTTTTTCGGGGAACCAGAACCGGAACCGCATAGTACAGGTTCCCAAAAAAAGGAACCGGAACCGGAACCGCACAGTACAGGTTCTTCAATTCAAGGAACCGGAACCTAAAATGCAGGTTCCGGTTCCTTTCCAGGGTACCCTGTAAAAAATCAATTACCCCCCTATTAGTTTAAAAAATAACAAAAACACCTTATAAGTTTACAAATACNTATTGCTCCTCCCCCCCCCCCACCGAAGACAGGGATGGCCTAGTACATCTAAGCCTACATTGTAAAAAAAAACAGTCCATATCATAATTCAAACACATATGTTACAAAAAATATAACAAAAAACTATTAATATTTACCTGCATTGCCCATGGGAAGCCAAACAAATTGTACGTGCTTGGTTTATCCTTACCCTCCCATTGGGAATACTTTAAAACCATATATACTTTTTTAAGGATATTGATGGTTAGCTAATATGATTTCAATCCCCATGGATAAGAATTAAAGAACTTCAAGTTGCTTGCAAACAACAACCAATCTTTCTCAACAGCTTTTGTTGAGTCACTAGCCAATAAGATCGAATGTAAAAACAAAACCAAGCACACTTTTATCTTCTCTTTATCAGTAAATTCAACTGTTTCTAGCCTAATCTCTAATACCGTTGCTGTAATAGACTTATCCCCCCTGCAAAACCTTATTATAAAACTGTATGGCTCCCCGACTATTCTTTACTGTCTCTGCCTTCTTATCTGGCACTTCCCCACATCCTAAGCCCGTCACCAGGGCATATTCCATCATGCCAAAATGTAGTGGCTTTCTGCCCACCACAAACCACATTTCTTTTTTTTTATTACATCTTACTAAGTGCAGCAACATGTAATGCACTCCCTGCCCCCAAAATGTCTTTTTCCAATGATTTCCAAGTCCTAAAAACCGACCGAAACAAGTGCAACTGAAATCTCTTTTACCATGCGTAATTCCATCTAAAATGTCCTGTATTCTGTCAAAAACTTCCCAACTTGACCTGACCGTCACCCTTGCAGCGAAGTTGGGCACCTTATCGCTTATAAGGTCCAACTCATAGTCTGTATAGTTTACGGTCCGCACAATCTGCACAATCGATATAAACAAAATGTCAGCAACAAAAATAAACCAAAACAACTAATAAACAAAATATCAGCAACCAAAAATTACCACTGTGGTTGGTTAAGTGATTTCAGATCGGTTAAGAGATCTTAACTCTGCCTCGTGCAAGATCGCTTAAGCAACCAAAAGTAAACTGAAAGAATCTCTTAAGCGACACAAACGATCGCTTAAGCGATCTTATATCTATGATTCTGCCTCAAAAAGATCGCTTAAGCGACCAAGAGTCAACTTAATCAATCGCTTAAGCGATATAAAGGATCGCTTAAGTGATCTTAGATCTGGGCAGATGGAGTAAAGATGTTAATCGCTTAAGCGACAGTTTAGAACGTACCCTTGCTTCGGCAGCCTGCTCGTTCTAGCCAGCTTCCTCCTCGTCGCCTGAATCCTCGGAAGACTCATCCTGGCCTAAATTCTCGTCGGAATCCTCCTCTTAGCCTAAATTATCGCCTGACTCCTCGTCTTCAGAACCGTGCGATTCTTCCCTTTGTTCTTATGCCGCTGGTGTCTCCTCTCCCTGTCGACCACCTTTACTGATCGGATGATCCACCGGAGCAGCCATTGAACTGCTTGCGCCACCGGAATCTAGGATTCGAAGTGGCGTTCGGTTGTCCTCGTCATTATGAGTGTCAGCCATGGTTTTGGATTGAATTTGGTGTGAAAATTTGTAGTTTGGATCAGAAATGTGGGCTGTATCGCTGGAAATCGCGTAGATTCCGTTTAGGGTTCAAGAAATCGATCTAAAATCATGATTTATCGCCAGAAATCGCGACTATATTCAGTTTAGGGTTCAAGAAATTGAGTTTACAATTGAATATGGTGTGGAAATTTGCGGGTTCGATCAGAAATCGCCTGCCTCCCTTTGGTTCAAGAAATCGATTTTTGCCCTAATGAATTTCGATTAAGCGAGGTGAATAGTTAGTGGGGCTTGTTTTGAAAAATTTCAAATTTTAAAAACTTGTATTATTTCTTATTCGGCCCAACTATGTTTTAATCTTTTCATTTTAACCCATTTTACGTGTTTTGTTAATCTTTTCATTTTAACCCATTTTACGTGTTTAGTTAGTAGGGCTTAGTCACTTAAGCGATTTAAGATCGATTAAGCGATCTCTTCTGAGGCAAAATAAAATATGCCAGATAGATGATCGCTTAAGCAATCCCCTGGTATCGCTTAAGCGATTCTTCGCTTTTACTCTTGGTCGCTTAAGCGATCTCTTCCGAGGCAGAATAAAATTTGCCCAGATCTATGATCGCTTAAGCGATCCTCTGGTATCGCGTAAGCGATTCTTCGCTTTTACTCTTGGTCGCTTAAGCGATCTCTTCCGAGGCAGAATAAAATCTGCCCAGATCCTCGCTTTTACTCTTGGTCGCTTAAGCGATCTCTTCCGAGGCAGAATAAAATCTGCACAGATAGATGATCGCTTAAGCGATCCTCTGGTATCGCTTAAGCGAGTCTTTGCTTTTACTCTTGGTCACTTAAGTGATCTCTTCCGAGGCAGAATAAAATCTGCCCAGATCTATGATCACTTAAGTGATCTCTGGTATCTCTTAAACGATTCTTTGCTTTCACTTTTGGTCGCTTAAGCGATCATTTGAGAAAAAAATCTTGTTCGCTTAAGAGATATATGTGGTCACTCATATATCGCTTAAGCGATCATGACAGAAAGAGAAGAATCCTACATTTCTCCTGAATTGTGTAATAATCTGTCTTTATAGAGCTAATTTCAAAATAACTCATTTTCCTCCCAAATTCAAAAAGAATAAGTAGCAAAATGAAGTCATTTATATCAATCTAATCCATCACAGATCAAAATATAAGAGACATCAATGTAATTGAAAGTTTAAACTTGACCCAAAACAGAATAAATCCTAATCCACTTTGACAAGTTTTGGAATTCGGTATAATCACTTTCTGAGATCATTTCATGGTACCATAGCTTGCCAGCAGCCTTGATTACAGATGCCTTGCCGGCAGCGTACTCTGACAGCCCAAGCCAGTTTGAGGAGTTCCCTCTCATTGTTTGCCAGCAACCTGCAAAATTATCCGGCACACCTACAGCCACGTCAGCTTTTCTAAATAAAACACAAAAAGACAAAAAGTTTTTCAGGGCCAATTTCTTAAATGGAAAGTTGGGATGTCCGGGAAGTAAAATTTTCTCTCTTCATGAACCCAAGTTATGGAGTGCAAGATTGAAAAGTTCACTGAGTCCTTCTATTTCGGTAAAGTTGTGTATAAGCATGACACCTACAGCATCAGCACCACAACCCAAGTATCAACATCAACATCACATAAATTACAAAATTAAAAGTACAAGTTCCAAACCTTTTGATTGGGTTGTAGTCACTCAAAACGGATCCATTTCCCCATGGAAGCACTCAACAACCCAGCGCTCCCGAAAGATGGTCATTGTTTCGTCATTCAATCCGTCCATCGGGCTGTTGGTCATGTCGAACTGAATAAATTTCAGGGCATATGCCCCACAATCAGCACTGCAATAGGAAGATGACATTAGCATTAGAATCAGCTTATAGAACAATTATATTATGTAAGTTAGTTTTATAAAAAATTTACCTTGACTCATTTGTTGGGACGGGAACGTGCTTGAGTGGCCACTTTCCCATCAATGTTCATCATCGAGGTGCTCAAACATCCCGCTCTCGCGTAACAGCCGCGGGAACAACACAGAAAGTGGCTCAAACTCAGCCTCCAACTACCTGTCTCAACAAATTGTTGGGTTGCAGTCAAGGATTTTCAGCAACCTCTCCTCTAAGAGCGCGACGACTGTTATCCAGTGCATTTCCTTGACCAGGATGATGCAGTAGACACTTTTAACCTTTGCCCAACTGTGGCCATATTTGGGCCTGTCCCCCATTACATATTGCATCATTCTGTCATCAAACTTAAAATCATTAGGGACGTAGTCCAAGTCTTCTGTGCCCGATCATTTTCGTTTGGCTCTTTTTGCTATAGATGTACCAATGGCCTTTTTCAATAAATTGTGATATGTCGATACCAGTGTTTGGCCAAAGTCCACATCGGTGATGGCACAATCGAGATACAGTAGATCACCATTGCTGGTTTGTCGCAGCCTCATCAGTGCCAATACCTCATCAATGTGCTTCATCAAATAAAAACAACATGATAAGTATACAATACCTCATGGAAAACATAAGCGAAAATAAGGAAAATTAAGCGAAAATAACTCATCGAGTCGTGAAGCCAGCTGCCCATCGTCAAAATCTTTTCAAACCAATCCCGAGAATAATCCCCGGTCTTACACTTTACAAAGGCATCACTTCCGGATTCATTATAATAGGCATAGAAGGGTTTTTTCTTTTCCTTCTCTATTGGCCTATACAAATCGATAGTGGACTCCATTTTTGCTTGCCCGTTTCCTCCCCCTTCCTCCATTTGTACATCCCCGCTTCCTTCGCCTCCCGCCTCAACCTCCTCCATTATAACTGCACCACTTCCTTTAGAAACCTCTTTAACCCCCTCAATTTTAGCTTCTTCCTCAATTTGTTTCTTTGGTTTCCTCTTAATTCCACGTGTTAGTACGGTGTAAGGCGATTTCACAAACCTGCTCTTTCGGCTCTCTCTTTTCAGCCCAGGTTACACTTTAACCGACTTAAATACACAACAAACTTCCTCATGAAACCTACCAACTTCCTACTCAACCCTAACAACTTTCTCTGCCACCTTATCCACTTTCTCCTCCACCCTTTTCAACTGCTCTTCCATCTTATCAAACAAACTGTTTATGAGGTCAACCACCTCACTCTCCCGACCCCGACACCTCGGCAAAGCGGTACTTGTTGTGCCGGTTTGCTGAGGCATACGAACCTCTTCCTCCCTCCCCTCCTCCTCCCTCCCACTGATTGCGGCTTCATCCTCCTCGGCGTCAACCACATTCTCAAGCAGTGGCCCTGCAACTGCCCTCACATGTGTGACCCTTGTAGGTCCCGCTTCAAGCGGTCTATCCCTTCATCCCTTTGATCCTCCAGTGCTTGGAAAGATGTGACATAGTGCTATTGCACTTCACCCCCAGTAGCAGTGAGGAAGGGACGGACAACCCCCTGCAATAAGAAACAAAATCAATCAGATTTAAGCGACATTTTAAAGCAAATGCATGTTCAAAAGCTTAATCCTTTAATCTTACCCGAGCTGATTGAATTTCAATCTCTATTTGCTCATAATCCGAATGGGTACACTTCTGATCGTGCCACCACAACATCCTAGGAAATGTCTGTTGCACAACCGAAGCCCTAATCCTCCCCCCTGCTTTAGCCAGGACAAGGATGGCCTCATACATCCAAGCCTACATTGTAAAAAAACAGTCCATATCATAATTCAAACACATATATTAAAAAAAATATAACAAAAAGCTATAAATATTTACCTGCATTGCCCATGGGAAGTCAAACAAATTGTACGTCACCGATCTATTCTTCTCGGCCCATTGGGAGTACTTTAACGCTAGGTCTTTTGCTTGCAGGGACTCCATGGTTTGCTTAAATGATACCCGACCCCACGGATAAGCATTAAAGAAGTTCAAGTTGCTTACAAACTTCACCCAATCAATATCAACAGCTTTTGTTGAGTCACTAGCCATTAGGATCGAATGTAAGAACAATACCAAGCACAGTTTGAACATCTCTGAATCGTTAAACTCACCATCTTTTAACCTGTCCTCTAATTCCTGTGCCTTAATAGACTTGTTCCCCGCCAAAACCTTGTTAGCCAACCTTTTGGCTCCCGTACTGTCCATTATTCTTTTTTCCTCAACCTCACCTGGCAATTCCCCACATCTTAAGCCAGTCACAAACGCATATTCCATCATCCTGAAACGTAGTGGCTTTTCATCCATCATGAACCACATTTCATGCTTTTTGTTGCTTTTTATTGAGTGCAGCAACATATAATGCACTCCCGACCCCCAGAATGTCTTTTTCCATTTTATGTCCATATCCCAAAAATGACTGAAACAAATCTCTTTGAATCTCCTTTCACCGTTCCTCACTGTCCCTAAAATCCCCGTTATTCTCGTTAAAACATCCCAACTTGACCTCATTGTCACCCTCACAGGGAAGTACGGTAACGTATCGCTTACAACCTCTAATCCCTACTCTCTATAGTTTACGTTCCGGAAAATCTGCACAATCAATATAAACAAAATATCAGCAAAAAAATTAAACCAAATCAAATATAAACAAAATACGCTCTGGAAGAATCGCTTAAGCGATGGGCAGATGATTCTGCCTCATACAAGATCTCTTAAGCGATTATAGATCTGGGCAGATTTGATTCTGTCTCGGAAGAGATCACTTAAGCGATCCTAAATAGCTTAAGCGACCAAGAGTAAAAGCCATCAATCGCTTAAGCGATACAAAGGATCGCTTAAGCGATACAAAGGATTGCTTAAGCGATCTTAGGTCTCGGCAAGTACAAATACCTTTTCTTCGGCGACCTCCTCCTCTTTGGCGGCCTCCTCATCCGTGGCCTCCTTCTCCTCGTCTGAACTCTCGCCGGACTTCTTTTCTTGGCCTGAATTCTGCCCGGCCTCCTCTTCCTCTTTAGAACCGTTTTGCTCCTATTCTCTCTCTTGTTATGCCGTCGTCGTCTCCACTGCTGGAACATTTTCACTGATCAGAGGATCCACCAGAGCAGCCATTGAACTGTTTACGCAGCCAGACTCTACGATTCGAAGAGGCATTGGATTTTCCTCCTCATTGTGAATGTTAGCCATGGTTTTAAGAAAGGAAGAAGCTTTAGGATTGAATTTGGGTGTGAAAATTTGCCAGAATGTAGACTGTTATCGCCAAAAATTGCACAGAATGCGTTTAGGGATTAAAGATATCAATTTTTGCCTTAATTGGTTTCGATTAAACGATTTGAATGGGTGAGGCTCTTTTTTAAATTTCAAATTTTAAAAACTTTCATTAATTATGATTTTATCTTTATATGTTTTAATCTTTTTATTTTAACCTATTTTACATATTTAATAGATCCTAACTATGTCACGTCAACTTCTCTAAATTAAAAAAATATAAAAATCAGTTTCAAGGCCATTTTCTTAAATCGAAACTTGGGATGGCTGGTCAGCTAAATTTTCTCTCGATAATCTCTAAAAAAAAAAAAACAGAAAAGAATGTCCATCTCCGACCTCTCAGACACTGAAACTCCGCTTGTGGCAGCTACCGTAGATGGGTCCGTTGACTTCAAAGGCCGTCCAGTGTACAGACCCAGCTCTGGTGGATGGAGATCTGCACGCTTCATTATTGGAGTGGAAATGGCTGAGAGGTTCGCTTATTATGGAATTCAGTCTAACCTTGTTACCTATTTGACTGGACCTCTGGGTCAGTCTACGGCAACTGCGGCGGAGAACGTCAACCTCTGGTTAGGTATGGCCATGCTGCTGCCTCTTTTAGGAGCATTTGTTGCTGATTCTTTCCTGGGACGTTACCGGACTATTATTATCGCTTCTGTTATATACTGCTTGGTTAGATTCTTTCTGAAACTATATTTATTTACACCTAATTTTGGTTAAAATTATAAATATCTAAACAAAAGTAACAGTTTTCTAAAAGGAAACAAAGATAATCTGAAGTTAGTTAATGAACTCTGAGGGTTTTCCCTTATGCTTAGTTTTAGAATGTTTTAAATTTGGTTATGTTTGACATATGCAGGGGCTGGGATTATTGACTTTATCGGCTATGTTACCTTCAGTCAGCACTGTTGGTTGTCAAAACACAAACGAAATCACTTCATGTAATTCTGTATATCAATTCAGATTAATCTTATTCTTCTTCTCTCTATATTTGGTAGCAATTGGACTAGGTGGGCACAAGCCTTGCGTTCAGGCCTTTGGTGCAGATCAGTTTGATGGGAAAGACCCTTTGGAAAGCAAACTGAAAAGTTCATTCTTCAATTGGTGGTATTTTGGGTTATGTACAGCTGCCTTATTTTCGATTTTGATTTTATCCTACATCCAAGATAACCTTAATTGGAGTCTTGGGTTCGGAATCCCATGTATTTCGATGGCATTTGCATTTATTGTCTTTTTGCTTGGAAGTAAGACTTATCGCTGTAGCATCAAAGGGAATGAGAGAAGTCCGTTTCTGAGAATTGGGAAAGTGTTTGTTGTTGCAGTCAGAAACTGGAGGCGAGCTACGCCTCCTGCTTTAGTTCATGAAGTTGAAGCAGAGGAAGCTCATGAAAAGTTGCCCCATGAAAGTTCTGAGCAATTCAAGTAAGAAAAATACTTGTGAGAATTAGTAGGATATTTATTTGTTGTTACTATGACATGCAAGTATGTAACTAGATTTATCATACTTTAACTCTTGACAGGTTCCTCAATAAAGCCTTACTTGCATCAGAAGGTTCAAAAAAATATGGGAAGGTGTGTATCATCAGTGAAGTTGAGGAAGCCAAGGCATTTCTCAGGCTTGTTCCAATATGGATTACTAGCTTGGTCTACGGCATAGTATATGCGCAGTTTTCAACTTTCTTTACGAAGCAAGGAGCTACCATGGACAGACGAGTTGCATCATTTTTTGAAATACCAGCTGCTTCACTTCAATCCTTCATCGCCCTTTCCATTGTTGTCACCATTCCGGTTTATGACTCTGTTTTTGTTCCTAAAGCAAGGGCTTTTACTGGGAAACCTGCTGGCATTACAATGCTTCAGAGAATTGGAACTGGGATGTTTTTATATGTTTTGTCAATGGTGATTGCAGCTTTAGTTGAGATGAAGAGGCTTAAAACTGCTGAAGAATATGGACTGATTGATAAGCCGAATGTGACAATTCCAATGAGTGTGTGCTGGCTGATTCCTCAATATGTCGTGGCTGGTGTTTCTGAGGCTTTCGCAATGGTTGGTCTTCAAGAATTTTTCTATGATCAAGTTCCGACTGAATTAAGGAGCATAGGACTCTCTTTATATCTCGGTATCCTCGGTGTTGGGAGCTTTCTGAGCAGCTTTCTGATATCTGTGATTGAGAAAGCAACAGGAGGTGATGGCCATGAAAGCTGGTTTGCTGATAATCTCAACAAGGCACATCTTGATTATTTTTATTGGCTTCTTGCTGGACTCACTGCTGCAGGATTGATTTCCTTCTGGATTTTTGCCAAGTCCTACATTTATAATAAGCCAAGCTAGCTTTCAAATATGGAATTTATGTAAAGTAGGACTTGTGTTGTCTTTTTACTAGGCAAATTCTTGTCTTTTCAACAGCAGCTTGTGTTGGTATGGCATAAAACAGTAGTATTATTTTCTATAATTCCTCTAAAGATTTGAATGTTAATAATCTGCAGGGACTGGGCTTGTTGACTTCATCAGCTATGTTACCTTCGGTTAGCACTGCTGATTGCCAAAACATAAATATAATCAGTTCATGTAGTTCTCAATATAACTTCCCAGAAATGTTATTCTTCTTCTCTCTATATCTGGTAGCAATTGGACAAGGTGAGCACAAGCCTTGCGTTCAGGCTGTCTGTCCTGATCAGTTTGGTGGACAAGATCCTGATCCTGAGGAATTAATGTAAACTGAAAATTCTTCAACTGGTGGTATTTTTGGTTATGTGCAGCCTCCTTATTTGCCTTTTTGATCTTATTCTACATCCAAGACAACCTTAATTTGGCTCTTGGATTCGGAATCCCTTGTATTTCAATGGCATTTGCCCTTCTTGTTTTCTTGCTTGGAACTAATACTTATCGATATGGTATAAATTTAGGTGACAAGAAAAACCCGTTTGTGAGAATTGGTCAGGTGTTTGTTGTTCCCGTTAGGAATTGGAAGCAAATTACACCTTCTGCTATGGCTCTTAAAGTTTGAGAGGAAGCTCATGGTATCTTAGGTCCTCAAGAATATTTTGACAATACAGGTAATAAAAGAAATATTTGAACATTTCTACAATTCTAAGCTTTGTATTTTATTTTTTAAGCTGAAATACTCTGAATCTCGCGCAGGTTCCTCAATAAAGCATTGCTTACACCACACCAGATGAATATGGGAGGGTGTTACTATGGAACGGTCAATTTCACCAGGCTTCAACATACCAGCCGCTTCACTTAAATCCTTCATCACCCTTGCCATTGTTCTCACCGTTCCCATTTATGACTGTTTTTCTGTTCCTAAAGCAAGAGCTTTCACTGGGAAACCGGCCGGTATCACAATGCTTCAGAGATCAAAGCTGGGACGTTTCTACAATTCCAATGAGTGTGTGTTGGTTGATTCCTCAATATGTCTTGGCTGGTGTTGCTGATGCTTTCACAATGGTGGTCAAGTTCCAAATGAATTAACGAGTGTTGGTCTCTCTTTTATATCTCAGTATTTTTGGTGTTGGGAGCTTTCTGAGCAGCTTCCTCATATCAGTCATTGAGAAAGCAACAGGTGGAGATGGGCATGAAAGCTGGTTTGCTGCTAATAATCTCAACAGGGCACGTCCTAATTATTTATATTGGCTTCTTGCTGGACTCAGTGCTGCTGGATTGGTTTCCTACTTGTACTTTGCAAAATCCTACATTTATAATAACAGGACAAGTTCCAACCAAAACTGTCAAACTGTGTGATGTAAGTCATTGAACCTCCAGATTGACCTAGGAGGAAGTATTTGATCGAAATTGCAAACCCACGTCAAATAAAATGGTACGTTTGGATACTTGGCTGAAGTCGCCATTAGTAACTAAATAACAGATCTTATTTTTCCTAGTTTAAGGTATTTGGTGCCATACTGTTTTACAATATGAAGTCATTTGTATAAGAAGGGTACAAGACAAACGTGATCAAAATTGATGGTTTAAATTCGTATACGTTTTATTTGTCTTAGCCATAGTTTGAAGACAGGATGCAAAACACAAATTATTGTAAACTAGATTTATGCATTATTTAATCAAGTAAGAGTTGATAGAATATGATTAAATAATTATGTGGTTACATGCGAAGGACAATGTATGGAAAAGTATATCAAAAAGTTTGATAGAAGTTATGTGTATAGAGTTAGGGGCACATGTGTAAATGTAAAAAATATATATAGGGTGTAATATTATTTTATTTGATTTTTTGAATAAACTATAGTACAATATTTTATCACATGGTATCAGAGCACTGGTCTTAGGGTTTTGTTCTAGCAACCGACGGCACTGTTCACAAACACTATTCACGTGACATTGTTCACGCGATACTGTTCACGAGACATTGTTCATGGTTGTTACTTTTTCCAGTGACTAAGTCTGTCGCATCTCCTGTTTTTCGGTCGTGGTTTTCGGTTGGTGATCTGTTTTTATTATTTTGCAGTTTCCAGTTAGTGTTCCTTTTTTTATGTTTATTTGATGATTGTTCTGGTTGTGGTGCTAGATTTGAGTCATGAATTTGTTGTGAATTGGTGATTTAGGTTTGTTGGATATTGGTGATTAGAGGTGATCTTGTCTGTGAGCCTAGTAGAGAATCATTGTTGGTTTGATTAAGCTATGGCAGTGGAAGGCAAACAGGTGGTGACTGAAATTTCAATCCATTCATCTACAAAGATTACTGATAGGAAGTTACTGGGAAAGCAGAATTATGCTCAATGGAGACGAACTATTAGGAGATATGTTTCTAGCACTGACATGGGGGATCATTTGACTGAGGATCCACCTACGGATTCACTTCCACAAACAGAGAGTGATAAGCAACTAGAGGGTAGTGATAAGAAATTAAAGAGTATTATGAGAATTCGGAAGAAATGGCTCATGGAGGATGATAAATTGTTTAATCAGATCCAGAATACTCTGGATTCCACAGTGGATGATGTTACTAATCATTGTGATACAGTTAAAGAGTTATGGGAATATCTAGAGTTTCTGTATGCTAGTAAACAAAACTTGTCTCATGTTCATGAGTCGTTATTGTAGAATTATCGAGCAAATATGCAAAAGAAGACATTACTTGAATACTATACAGAGGTGAAGCAAGCCTTTCAGGAAAAACAAGCTATATTCCTTGTGACTGCAAATGTTGTGTAAAAGAAAGAACAAGAAGAGCAAGTGGTGATGCAGTGTTTTCTGGCTAGGCTAAGACCAGAATATGAGATAGTTCGAACACAACTCCTTACCAATGACAAACCTACTTCCCTAATAGAGGTTTATACTCGTCTTCTTTGGGTTAGTAAAAGGGAAGATAGAGGAGCATCTAAAGACAGGGAGACTCTTTAGAATGTTGCTTTAGATCATGCGGCACTTGCTAGCATGAAGTCTAATAGTAGTAGAGGCAACAAAGGTGCTGGTCAGGATATCGAGGGTACTCGTGGCAATGGTAATGGTCCTCGTACTTGCTTCCATTATGGTGCTGAAGATCATGTCAAAAGGAATTGTTAGAAGTTACATGGAAACCCTCCGACTATGTCGAGCAATCAGATTTATGCTCATGTTGCCGCTCAAGATGGTATTTTACCTACTCCTTCATAGGTTATTGTATCTGCAGATCAATATGCTCACCTCACTCAGTTTGCTAGCCCCTAGTCATCCATTCCACCAATTGCTGCTACATTAACTCAGCTAAGTAATCATACAGCTTTTGTATCTACTTCTAGTCATAACTAGGTCATTGATTTTGGTGCTACGCACCATATGACAGGTGATACAGGTATTCTCTCCTCATTTACACTTTTTTCTAATTTGTCTTCTGTTACTTTAGCGAATGGGTCTACTGTATCGATGATGGGTTGTCGTACTGCTAATCCCACCAAATCTATGTCTCTTTCCTCTGTTCTGTGTCTTTCTCACTTTCCCTTTAATCTTTTATCTGTTAGTCAAATCACTACTGCATTTAATTGTGGTGTTTATTTTTTCCCTACTCATTGTATCTTTCAGGATCTTGGGATGAAGTAGATTATTGGTAAGGGTCGTGTCTCAGTTGGCTTGTACGTGCTTGATGACATCTCTACTCTAGTGCCGCCACATGTTGCATGTACCAGTGATTTGTCCTCTTGTCTCTTCCATGGTCGTTTTGGTCATCCTCCTCTTCTAATACTGAAGAAGTTATGTCCTAGTTTACAGTCAATGTCACAACTTAACCATGAAGCGTGTCAATTTGGGAAACACCATCGAGTGTCTTTTAGTCCTAGAAAAAATAAACGACCTATTACTCCTTTTGATGCTATACATTCTGACATTTTGGGTCTTTGTCCCGTTTTATCTAAATCTGGTTATAAATATTTTGCTACTTTTGTGGATGATTTTTTACATGTTACATGGCTATATTTTATGAAAAATCGTTCTGAATTATTCTCTATATTTTGTGCCTTTTATGCTGAGATACAAAACTAATTTGCTTCATCTATCAAAATTTTGCGAAGTGATAATGCCAAAGAATATTTTTCTGCTTCTCTCTCTTCTTTTTTGTTCACCAGGGGTATTATTCATCAATCATCTTATGTATATACGCCTCAACAAAATGGAGTCATTAAACGAAAAAGTTGCCATTTGTTAGAGGTCAATTGTACACTTCTCTTTCATGTGAAAGTCTCTAAAGAGTTTTGGGCAGATGTTGTTTCTACTGCCTGTTACTTAATTAATTGTATGCCTTCATCTATTCTATCTGGCCAAATACCTTATTCCATTCTTTTTCTTTCTCAACCTTTGTTCCCTCTCGCTCCCAAAATCTTTGGGTGTACTTGCTTTGTTCAAGACATTCACCCTCATCTTTCCAAATTAGACCCTAGATCACTCAAGTATATATTCTTGGGTTACCCACGATATCAAAAGGGCTATTGTTGTTTTTCTCCTATTTTAGGTAAGTATATTGTTGGTTGATGTTTCATTCTTCGAAACTACTCCTTATGTTGACAATTGCATTCCATCTTCTTCTCTGGTCACTGATGATTTTCTTATTTATACCATTACTCACTATAGTTTTCCACCTCTGTCTCGTCCTTCTGTCACTCAGATATACTCTCACCGCCCTCCACCATAGCAAGTGGCACTGGCACTAGCACCAGTATCAGCATCTAAGACACTTAAGACATTGCCCCTATTGCCTGCTTTGCCCTCAGATCCAACCCCTCCTCCTTCTGACCTAGATCTTCCAATTGCTCTACATAAAGTTAAATGCTCTTGTACTTATCCTATTTCCTCTTTTGTTCTTATAACTCATTGTCTCTATCTTCCAAGTTGTTTGTTGCCTTTTTAGATTTCGTGTCGGTTCCCTGTTCAGTGTCTGAAGTAGTTGCTCATGATGGATGGTGAAGGTCTATGGAAGAAGAGATGTTGGCTCTTAAGCATAATAGTACATGGGATCTCGTTGATTTACCTGGTGATAAAAATGTCATTGGTTGTAAGTGGGTTTTCACAGTGAAGATTAATCCTGATGGGTTTGTGGCTCGGTTGAAACCTCGGTTGGTTGCTAAGGGTTATGCTCAGACATATAGTATTGATTATTCGGAAACATTTTCTCCTGTTGCTAAGATGACCTCTGTTCG